ATCACTAAGTTACGATATATAACGTCAGTAACCCAGCATTAGTATGTGAACCAAAATGTTAGTGGTTAGATTCCAAATGTAATCATACTGATATTATAAATGTTTAGATGAATGGATGGATGGATGTTTGTTAGAGTTTGTAGTTTTAAAGGCTGAAGGGATTTCAATGAAATTTGGTATAGATGTAGAGGATAGCCTGGAAGAACATATAGGCTACTCACTTTTGTTTTTTTTTTAATTCCACGCGAAAGGAGTCGCGAGCGAGTCTAGTTTAAAATATTTGTGGAAACTATGCCAAAAATTTATTGCTCTATCTGTATTCATAGAGAATGACAGATAATTAAAAATGCCATCATAGGTATGGAAAATTCCTTCTGTTTCATGACCTTCGTAAGGTCTGTTTGGCACGGGTTTAGGCAATGCTCCAAGTTTGGAGATTGTTTAAAATAAACATGTATCATGATGAAATTCTACTTCAGAACTCATTACATACGTGTTGGAAGAAGGGGAAACAAAATTATCTAGTCGTATAATACTTATTAGTTTTTTAAACTCAGTAGTTTTTACTTGAATCAAATACAGACAAAAATACAAATCTTTCCTTTTCATATAATAATATGTATATGTATAATAATACGTCATGCATATAATAATATGAAAAGGAAAGATTTGTATTTTCGTCTGTATTTGATTCAAGTAAAAACTACTGAGCACATTTAAAAAAAAAACTTTTACCATTACAAAAACAATTTATCTATGAGTAACATAGCCTATATTTTTATTATAGCTTAATTTTAAGCGGACGTAGTCGCTAGCAGTGGCTAGTAGTTGGTAATTTGACAAGTTAGACAATAATTATTTACTTTTGATAGTCATTTTTTCGTTGACAAAGCCTAATACATCGTGTAGCATAAAAAGCGTATTTTGAAGGTTGAATTATAATATCCGATAGGACAAAGAAAATCTTTAATATACGAAACATATTAATGCTATATAATATAGTTACAAAATCAACATAGTAATCTGCAATGCATGTAAAAAACATCTTCGTATAAGTAATCAAATATTTTTTACGAGGTCGTGTGTTCGTGAAAGGCGTGAATCGTCAAATGTGCTTTACCGAAGTGTGGATAAGCATGCGAGAAAGGCTTCGATTATGACATAGACTTTCTCTAATATTAAAATTCATCATCAAAATGGCTAATAGGACTTTGTCACAGTAAGTCTATAGCGCTGATTGCTATATTTTTTAAACAAAAAACATGCGGCTATTCATTACTATTACTTATGTCTCTGTAATCAATTACTCTTATTTCTAGAAATGGAATTTATAAACGAACTAGCTGTGGCCCTCGACTTCGTGTGTACGAAATTATGAAAATATTAATTACGAGTAGCTGTCTTCTACGTTTATCCTAAATTTCAGCGAAATTCATTAAATCGTTCTATATATGAAGTAACAAACATGCATCCATCCAAACTTTCGCATATAAGTCAATAAGATTTCTTATAACAAAGTTATGTATGAAAAACCCGAATAAAAAAAAGAAATTGCCATCTTCCAATAAAGCTCCGATATAGTTTATTCTGATAGCGACCCAATAAAACTCCAATCTTAACGCTCTATTAATTCCCTTCGGCTTCAATAAAATTCATAAAAGACAAAAAGACTAGAAAAAATTGTGTTCAAGATTATTAAAATAATCTTCACAATCGAATACCAGACATTAAAAAATCGCAAGAATTTTGCCATCGAGTCATAGATTCTCTGCCTACTTTTAGTTACTAGCGTAATAAAGACCTTGTAGTATGATATCCGTACTCGATGTTTGTAATTTGTAATATGAATGTCTCGTACACTGACCCTGCACCTTTCACCGATGTATCGTATCTAAGCCGTAATATCGATAGAAGACAATCGTGTACAAAAGCTTTGAACAATGCCAGTAATAGATAAAGCAAAGAGTAAGAATTTCTATACAAATAAATGCGATCTTTTTCATACGAGTTTTAAATCCCTGAAACTCGCAAATAAATGATTATTTATTAATTACAAATCTAATTAAGGAGGTGTTCGATGTTCAACTTAACTACCATAATCTTAAGGTTTGTTTTTTTAGTGACTGCAACAATGTAATTTGATGGACAATGCCTATTATGTATTAGTCACATTGAAGAGTTGATACATAATGCATTCTTTATAAAAAGAGATCATTACGCAGTCTAGACAGACGGAAGGCTGAAAATTTGGACTAAACATTAATGACTGTTAATGTAGGGCCAGGGAACTAGCGGGAGGTAAGGTGTAAGAAATGAAATTAAATAATTTTTTATCTTATTTATTTGGTTTTTTACTTTTGAAAACATTCAATTTTACAGCAGCATCATCATCATCAACTTGCCCTTATCCCTTATGGAGGGTCGTCCTATCTGAAACCACTCCTTTCTTAAGCATATCCTTTTTCACACAATCCATCCATACTTTCTTCGGTCTTCCTCTTCCTTTTAGCCATCCACATTCATTCTTAACATTTTCTGGTTTATGTCCCCATCGTCTCGTCGCATAACATGTCCATACCACGCTAACCTTTTGCTTTTCAATTTCTCCACCACTTCAAATTCTTTACAAGCATTTTCCATAAATGTCAAACACTTCAAACATAATGTTAATTAACTGAGAGTTGTTTGCTTTTGTTTGAGTAAAAAGGAAAGTTATTCTCGTTTTGACCTTTAATTATAAATGTCTAACTTATTTGATATTTAAACTACATTGAATGGCAGTGCCTGTAGGCAATAAAATGGGGACGCGAATATAAGAGTGGGTTATCACTGCTAGAACACACAATGTCAGAATGTCATATATTTTTAATCTATTATAAAAATAAACCAGGAATATTTTTTGTCTAGGAGCATCGTATAATAACAGACAGCAAAGAAATTAAAGTTAAAGTTTGAATTATATACATTTTAGGTTAAGTGCACAAAAAATTAAATTTTAAAATCATTTTTTGTGAAGTAAACGCGATTGCTACGGCCATACAAGATTTCGACCTTGCATAATATCTTTGTAAGACGGAATATAATGGATGCTAGCAAAATGTTCACGCCCCATTAACTTATTGCTTAATTTTCTTATAATTGTACACGCAATTATAAATACGATAGATTAACATAGGTCAACCAAAATTAAACATCCCGGCTTTACTTGCGTGGAAATAGAATAGTAAGAAAAATATGAAAATACCGAGGTTTTTTATTCATAGTAAGGGTATTTATTAGTTAATATTTTTTTAGTTTTGTAGTTTGTAGTTCATTTGAAACAAACAATGATATCTTACTAATATTATAAATGCCAAAGTTGCACGGATGTTTGTAGCCTAAACTGCTAAACAGATTTCAATTAAATTAGGCATAGATATAGAGGACAGTCTGGAAGAACACATAGGCTAATTGGTTTTCATTATGGGCGTCCGAAATCGTGGGTGAAAGCTAATATTTTTATAATATTAGTACACATTTTAAAACACAAATATTCTACGTATTTTGAATTAGAAAAAAAGTTTTTTTCGAGTTCAGCTCGGTGTCTATCAATGCGAAAATGATTTTAACAGCTTGCTAAATATTTACACTGGAATGCAAACATTTCAAAGACAAGGTCGTTCCTGTGATGCAATAAAAAGATCTCATGAGATATTACTCATAACTCTTATTTAACTTTAAATGTAGCTCTTTTCATCTTTTAGTTTTTCACCTGTTTTATTACTTTTTAAGTGGCGAAACTATTTTTGTATTCAATTGTTTATTTTCCTCGCAAACACGAGGTGCTAAAGATAAAAAATAATTCTCTACCATTTATTTTTGTCTCGGAGTGTACACTTTCATTGCAACAGAAATATCTTTTTCGACCTTAAAAAATTTAAAAAAAAGAGAATTCATGTTACCAATTACTTTGACAAATGTTCGATACGCACGTAAACAATACATATAAGAAATAATTCGTATGGGAAATGTTCTTTAGAAAGTATATTGAAAGAGCACGCGATGGTATCGGCCGGGAATCGATCTGAGACAATGGAGCGATCGCTTCCGTTGATCTATTCATCATTAACTTGCGTAATGCATTTATAACAACGCAATTTGATAATTCTTAACATTAACTACATGTTAATAAACATAAAGGAGACATCTCTACAGCCACCCAATCCTGCATACTTGTAAAATGATAGATAATAAAATAACTGTAATTATTTCACTCCTAGTTATGTAATTTAAAAAAAAAAGCACCAATTCTAAGTAATGTCACGTTTTTTTTAAAATAATAGTGTGATTATAAAAACAGTTTTGTTATGAATGCATTTATTTAAATGATGTCAACGAAAACATATAACATTTTCGTCTTGAATTATTCTCAGCGTGTAAAAAAACCGAAAGTTTTAAAAGATAGTGATCTCAAGTCGAAGTCAATCCGCATTTGCGCTCAGTTTATCAGGGAAAGGAGGTTTTTTCCCCTCCTTTCACTACGAACTCTGACATCATCTTATAATTTGACGCTTTGAATTCAATAAACGATTTACTATGAAAGATGTCTCTTAGAAATCTTCGTAAACAAACATCAGGTAATACTTTGAATGCAAAACTAACCTTAACTCTAATAAATTATTATTTCAACAAGCTTGGATTTTAGGTTGAATAACACAATAAGTGCTAGTAAAAGCAACGTGATCTGTAAAGATAATCAGTAAATAGCAAATTACATCATTTCCCTATCACTTTAAAGGTTAAACATGTGCTAGTTTGCGCCTATATATTTTAGTAGCAAAGAAACATATAAGTATATTTGCTATTAAAAGAATTTTATTTAATTTAAAACATTTAAAACAACAACAACAATCATTCATCATCTTAACATAAATGTTAAGTAGACATGACAAAAAGTGAAACTCTACTTTCCTGTAATAACAAGCAAAACTCAAATGTTTTCGTTTATTCCTAGTACTCACGCGCCGACAGCTAGCGGTAACCACGTCGGGTGGTGGCGCAGTGGCTCGAGCGAAGCGGAGGCGGGCACGGGCGCGGGTCGGAACTCGCTTAGCACTCTCTTCACCAAGCGTGCACTCACGGCGAACAGTATCACCATAGCCAACACACAAGTACCTCCGAATACTGCCCATAGTGCCTACAAACAATTAGTGCAGTTTGAAATAAGTTTTTCTGACTTAAATGAAGTAAGTTTGAAGTAAGTTTCGTTATGACTTAATACTTACATAAGTTGCCATTGTGATCTTTTTAGCTGCCAAGGGATCTGCAAAAAACTTAAATTCTTGTTCAACAATGTTACTTATGATATCACAGTTTTACATGTTTTAGCTATTAATTATTTTTATCGTTTCAGAAATAGTATAATCTTACCATAAGCGGTAGCGTTTCCCGCAGGTCCAATACAGCCGCGTTCATCGATTAAATTCACTCTTGCTAATAGTTTGACATCAAGTACGATATTGCGCGGTTCGCTTCGCTCTCCATTCCGCTTATCGCTCCGCTCAACAGTGGGTAGTAGCATCCATCGTGGACCGTCAGGTAGTGCTACCGGAGTATCGACATCAACGCGACGAGACACCGCATGAGCGAACCAGGGAGATGGATGTGCGTCTGATACCATCTGTTTGCCGATACTGTGATAAAAAATTTATAGTTCATCAATTCAGTTGGCACGTAGTTAAGAGTGCTCTTGTTATCGACGTGCCAAATCAAATATCAAATCTACCAGAGTCAACAATTTTACTAAGCTTGTTGAGATCTAAGTATGTATGAGGCTTGTTTGTTTTGACTTCAATACGTATATGTTTGGTTGATATTTTAGAATTTACTGATTGTTATTTTAGGATCAGAATGTTTATTCATTTGAATATGTTTATGATGATCTCATTATAACAATAACATTTATATAATAATATAAATGTTATTGTTATTTGCCGTACCAGTTGGCTAGCAGCTAGCGACGTTTATTCGAAAATGTATTTAGCGCGGTATTGTGAAAACTAGATAAAGGATAATCGTACTAAATAAAGAAGAATTTGTGATCAACTTCATGCGAACTAAATCGTAGATTATGCAAAAACAATTGAATTAATTTAATTCTTTTGTTATTTTTAGAGACTCCTTAATAATTAACAATGCGTTTTTGCTAATTTTTTTTCACAGTAATATTGACCTAGTTCGTTATTACCACGATGTAATCTATTTCAGCTCGCAACATGTTCTAAAATTAACATCAGCTTTGAGGATGATTTGTGAATACAATTTGTATGCGTTGAATTGTTTACAAAACAACATAACAATGCTGTCTGATTCTTTTCATGTACGTAAACTTTATAAATCAAAGATAAAGCATGTTAACGTTGAATTTACACTGCAGAAAAACATGTTTGAAACATATAGATATCACTATTTTTTTCAAAAGAATGAAAGAGATGAAAGAAAGAGAGAACATATCTGAAGTTGTAGCGAAAACTCTTGCTTTTTAAATTACAGTCGAAAGCCTAAAGAATAGCCTCCGAAGGCGAAAGATTTATAAAGTGTTTACACCGTAAATTATGAACTAACAGAAGCGGTTTATTAATTTCACTTATAGAAAACGTTATCCAGAAGTAACAGCTATTTTTGTAACGTTTATGTATAGTGTTTATGTAATGACTAGATTTTAAACGCGACTTCGACGCACGGAATAAAAACATAGTAGCTAATTTCCATTGGGACTGTTTTGGAGATATGTAACAAACTTTCGCATTTACAACATTAGTATGATTAAAATCAATTAGGTAAAGGAACCCATAGCTTCTCAATTTTAATTAAATAAATGTTTAATTAATTAAAATTAATAGACGAGAAGTTATTTTATATTTTTATATCACTGGCTGGAAATATCTTAAATTGTCTATGGCCGTGTTTTGAAGAGTGTTAGATCGTGCGCAAACCAGAAACTAAACTATCGCACAACTGTTTACTCTCGCTTTGATACCTTTGAGCTTATATAGGGGTAATACTACTCGATTTTTAGTTTTGCAAACAGTTAAATAGGCTGCGAAACAATCGACAATCGCCTTTAGTGTTTAAATTAACGATAAAAACATGTTTTTTTTAATAAACCTGTGATTACGGCTTTATGGAGATAAAATTGTTTAAAGTATTTTGTTATAATTTCTTTTATCTATTGAATTTGTATGTACAAATACCTGACAAAATAATACATCTTCCTCAGATCTGGTGGCAGTCTGTATGGGAAGGGTGGCGGGGGAAGCGACCATGTGACGTTGACGAATATTTCTCCATGTATGGAGACAGTGTGCGCTGACACTTGGGGTATAGGCAGCCGCGGGGAATGTGCGCATGAGCATACTCCGGACACGCATTCTGGAACAAAGTATAATGCGATTAATTTATTTGACCCATTGGTAATGCAAGGTTTTTGTTACATACTAGTTTTAGGGCCTGTCCCACAATTCTTGAAAATTGTTAGATAACAATCCAACCTATAAAATATGTGGAAACATCGGATTTTGGTACTCGTCACTATTAAGCTATGTGAGCCTCTATCAGCCAGTGGTGGGATAGGCTCTTATTCTTTTGTTTAATTAGTATAAGATAAAATTAGGGTTATTATTAGCATGTTGTCGAGGTCAACAATAAATCAATTTAAATGATTAATGTTCTAAATATCGTAATATATCATTTTAAAATGAATTATTATCTAAAAATAACCCTTTTAAACCGCACAGAAACAATACTGGACGTACGAATGGAAAGCTATTATTTCTTTACATTCGTAATCCGGGTTGTTAAAATAGATTTTTAATGTTAGACAGAATGTTTTGTAAATGTTGTTTTACTTGTTTTATGGACACTATTTGCTTGTGTTTATTGTATTAGTTACGGAGTCCTAACATTAATATAAACTATAGTACGAGAAGCATACATTTTAGTGAAAAGGTCCTGTGTAATTATAACAGCTGACAACCTTAATTCTATTGCTGAAACATTGTGCGAAATATCTTTACATCTGTTTTACCAATTAGTTTGAGGGTAACCATTAGGGTTGGCGACAGGCAGGCGGCTGTCATAAAAATTATCCCAAATCATTAAGGGTTATAAAAATTGTGGTTCGACAATTGAATGCGGTAAAGACGTGATTATGACAGACATGGCAGTTATATCATCGTCTCGCCACAATTAGTAGACAATTCTACATTACCATTCAAACTTAATGCCGGCTCAGACTAGAACGAGGACATCACAATTTTAAATGTATTTAACTCGCAGTGGCTTCATCTGACACGTATTAAGTTTGTAGCTAACTATAGTTAGTTTAAATAAGGTTGATTAGTTTCATAAATCACGCGTATTAAAAAATTGTATGAAGGTACCATACTTAATAGTCTGGCATCATAGTGACGGACATGATCGCATAGCGAACAACTATGAACTATCGATAATCGATCTAATAAAAAGAAACATCTAAGCACACTTATTAATTAAACTAAGGAACAGTTGTTATAGTGAAAATAGCTATATTTATGACTATAATATTAACAAATTCTACTTACTTGTAGATTATGCACAACCGTTTTAGTAATAAATATTTATTAACTTTCACACTTTGTTCTCATTATCGATTTAACGTTGAATAACGTAATGAATTGTCAAAACAATCATCCATATATAATATGAAGGTTATCTTTATTTTTAGACAAACTATACGAGCTTTTATACGAGCCGGTATAAAGTGTGAATTGTACAACACCTTCTAGTTCAACATTAACGTTGGCGGACGTGTGCCCATCCCACGGGTGTGCGATGAGTTTGACTGCGTACGCGCAGCCCGGCCGCACCGCGCAACCCTCCGCTACAGGACTCGGCTGGGGAGGCACTACCCACCATCTAGACTCCTAGGTAACACATACAAGTATAACTAACTACGGGACAACAATAGCAGAACATTTTTTTCACAAGAAGAATAAGTTAGGAAAAGTTTGCTTAATAGTTAATTGCTTAATATAAGCTTTTATTTTCAACATAGAGGTACCACAATTCGCCAAAATAGCGAAGCGATCCCTGCCTACAGACATCTGGATTTTCAATCGTTAAAACACAGAGGGCTCGCACAAAAAAGTATATTTCTTCTACCTATGCGTCTTGCCACCGTTAAAATCATTTCCCCTCCCCTTCCTTATACATATATCGTAGAAAGGGAAGAGGACCAAAATTAGATGATTAGACGAAATGCTTAATTTCTTCCACTTCACGCCTGTCTCCTGTATGCCCGTGGTATTAACAGGGTGATCTAACCCATTAGTGCAAAACACATTACTGCGGACTCTACAAGTTATATTAATAGTCAAAAGACTACGTTTAAATGAAATATGTAAAAAAACTTAGGGCCAGTCTCACCAAATGGTAAATCTATACTATTACAATAAAGCGTAAACACACACTTATTTGTTGCCAAAGATGTCAGCAATTACAGCATATTTTTGAATAATTCTTTGATTTATAAAAAGCCCCTACACTTACGTCACGCTTTAGACTATATTTTTTCACGCCATTAACTTAGGGGGTAAATAATTTGGATAAAAATCATAATGTGAGAAAGAGACCATAAGTTGCTGCCAAAATCAAGATAGTAAGATTGCCAAGGTTTGTCATGTCATGTCATTTTGACATTTACTATTGATAATTTGACAAATGTAAACTATAAAATAAAATTCTCATAATTTCATGCGGATGAAGCCGTACGGGAACAGCTAGTTATCTAATAACAATCGAACGTGAAAAATATGTGATGGGTATATCGGATTTTGTTCCCTTATCTGACAGTGACGTCATTTTATTATCTGAGCTCTATCAGCCAGTGGTGGGACAGGTCCTTTATCGTGTATATGATTTCGCTTTCAGAAGTAAATCTTGTTAACAGCGAAAGCAAAGTTTTATCGAAGCCGTTTCACATCGGGAACTTCATAATTAGGTTCTATATAGATTTATAATTTGTTTTGGCCTCCCGCCAAATCAATATCGGCATCCAGTTGTTTTCTTCACAATTTTTATTGAATATTTTACTATACCGTGACGTGATACGAATTCTTTTGTTAAAAGAATAATAAAAACATTATCTTCACGGTAGATATAACAATGGTAGAGTCTACATGTGATTTCGATTGTAGAAAGAGACAGAAAGATATTGCCATCACTGAAAATGTTTTTGAATCAATTTTTAAGCAGTAAACGCATAACAGTACAGTTAATGTATTACGTAATTTTTTTTTATAACGTATGGTGGAAAACGAGCAAACGGCCACATGAATCCGCCAAAATGGCGAAGCGACCGCTGCCCATAGACTTCCGCAATTACAGATGCGTTGCCCTACCCTTATACAACGGAGGAGGAGACGCACATAAACTGGATATATCCCCTTCCTGTGCATCTCCTCTACAGTCAAATCCACTTCCCCTTCCCATCCTCTCCTTTTAAGAAAAGGGTGGTAAAGAAAAAGGGACTTAAATTAGGCCTACGGCACCACACTCATCAGACGAAACACGGAATTGCTTCCATTTCACGCCTGTCTTCTGTGTGGTCGTGGTATTACACCGGGCGTGCCGGCCCATTCGTGCTAAGATGTTAAAACGGGCACTACCACAAAAAAAATCATATTTTTTGATGATGATGATGTAAAAAGAAAGTGATTAAATATACGAACGATCAGTAAAGTATTGGTTTACGTCCAGTTTATATTATTCCAGCGCTGGATTACTGGATAAAGTAAGCTTACACTGTCCATTGGATACTCGAATATGAAACTACTAGGTCTGAGCTATTAAATAATTTTGTAAGAAATTGAAATTAATGTTTCCCTATGTTAATTTATATTTCAAATTTCAACATAGAGTTACAGAAAATTTTCCTCAATACCGTAATTGAATATTCTTAACTAAAGTAAATTAAATGTTATTCAAACTTTGCTAAGTTGTAATAACATTTGGAATTGGTAAACTTCTTTCTTGTTATTTAAGTTTATTCAACTTAATTGGAGAGACTTCTGTATTTACTTAACGTAATTAGTACAGCGTACGTCGGAAATTTCAGAATAAATGTAATCTATAAGAGGAAACTGTTTGTTCCTTTATTACGTGAAAAACCACATATTATAAGGGACCATCAACCAAAGAAGATTTTTTTTTAATAATCTATACTAATATTATATAGCGGAAAGATTTGTATTTTTTGTATGTATTGTAATAACTTAAAAACTACTATGTTATCAGTGAGTAAAATAGGCTATGTTTTTTTTTTTTTAAATTTCAGACGCGAAGTCGCGAGTAACAGCTAGTAGATAATAAATAGCTTACATAAGCTATTTATAATTACTTGAATTATTTTTATAACCGACGATACGCGGTGTAATATAACATGTTACACAGCGAGCATTGATATAAATTAGTGCGTAGTTCGCAATAAATGTTCGCCGTGTAACATACCGCATAACGTTGGTTATTACGTTTTTATAAACAAACAAGTTGTGGGTTGGCAACAGTTAGCGTAACATTTTTGTAAGTTGTCTTTTTATTGTCTCTACTTTTTGAAGAAAATGAGAATATCAATACATTTTTCTACAATGGAAACACACCCTTATACTTACCCCTGGAATGTTATATTCGTAACACATTGGCGTCATGCAGTCCACAGTATTGGTCACGCTGCGCACCTCCAGAGAGTAGTCTGATGCTGGTGGACCTGACGCAAAAAAAAAGATTTCCCATTTTCATCATCATCATCATCATCATCATCACCAGCTCACTATCCCCCACTAAGGGGCTCGAAGTCTACTCTAACTTAGGGTGACTAGGCCATAGTTAACCACGCTGGCCAAGTGCCGGTTAACACATATCTTTGAATTGCTTCGCCGTGTAGGTTGCATTACGAAATTTTTCTATACTTAAAACCTAATTATGATACAATTTATTAATAGGAGACTTTTAGACCACTTATTCTTAAAAGTCGCTTTTTAAATAAAGATTTCGAGATTATTCTTTAAAAAATAAAATAGAAATAAATTATGAAATCAAGAATGGATGTCGCATTAAAGATAGATTGTAGAGCTAGGCATAACGTTGAAAACTTTAGTCAGGGTCATCGGTAAACGCTATCTCACTTTAATTTAAGCCAATACGCAAATATGTGAAAGAACTTGTATATCGATGGAACGTAAACATCGAATGAACGCGTGGGTATATTGAATGAATCGACTTGTGGTAGAGTTTAAAAATAAATACTCTCTGCCTACCACTGTAAAAGATTGAACGTGAGGTTGAATCTACCATGAAAAGAATCAAATACCAATAGATGGATATATAGACATCCTTTTTATTCTCATTGAAAAGTATAAAGCTATGTTTTAAACATGTTTTCCGCAGTGTAAATGCATGACGATAAAAACTTTCTTCGCAATTAAAACATGACGTTTACGTTTGCATTTAATCACCGGATATGACAGTTTCATATCAAAGCTGTACATTAATCTTGGAAAGGATTTCCTGTTGATTTCAACTATTTAAAGTATCTTTTTTTCAACAGATGAGCAAAGCAATTTACATTTCCCTTAAATCAGTGGTACAGCCCGCTTTAACATCTTCACACGAATGGGCCGGCTTGCCCGGTGCAAATCCAGGACCACACAGATAACAGGCGTGAAGTGGAAGCAATTTCACATTTCGTCTGATGAGTGTGGTACCGGAGGCCTAATTTTAGTCCCTTTCCATTTCCACCCTTTTCTTAAGAGGAAAGGATGGGAAGGAAAAGCGAATTAGACGGTGGAGGAGATGCATACGAATGGGAAATGTTCTCTCTATGTGCGTCTCCTCCTCCGACAATTAAGGCTAGGCAACGCATCTGCAATTGCGGATGTTTATGGGCGGCGGTCGCTTTCCATTTCGGTGGATTCCTAGAGGCCGCTTGCTCGTTTGCCACCTTATGTTATAAAAAAAAATCTCAGTCTGTATAACAAAGCAATAAAAACCAAAATCTGACCTTAGTGTCTTAAGTGAAACGAAACGTGAAAAATTTTCACCATAGCACATGGTGTATGAAAGTATATTTTCTTAACACCCTTCTCCATTTCCGTCTTATGTTTTTAATTATTAAAATTAGAACCCATTATGAAAGTATCATTTCACAAAGTCATAGATAATCTGATTGAGCGTTGGTGGCTCAGGGGTTTAAATTGACTTGTAATCTACAACTCTTGGGTTCGAATCCCGCCATGTTACCAATGTTATTTTTCGAAATTTCATATGTACATAAATTACCCGACGTTCTTACGGTGAAGGAAAACATCTTGATGCATATATCGGCGAAGATATTCAAAGATATGTGTATTCATCCCGCAGTGCATCGTGGTTGACTATGGCTTAGGGTAAGCTCCGAGCACCTCGTTAGATTCTTTTAGTGAGCTGGTGATGATGATGATTGGTAATCTGAACATGTATTCAATACGATAGCGTCCGTTTATTTATCGTACAGTGAAATTATTTCACACCCACCTTTAAAATTGACTAGATCGAGCGTTCGACTGCTGCGTTTATAAGAAAAAATATCGCACAAACATCCGTGGGTTTGATAAAAATCGTTAGGAATCCGTAGAGTGATTTGAAACTGTGTGCCCTGTGTTAGGGATTCCCGAACTACTGAATAAAGGATATCTCTTAATTTCTAAAATACTCAAAGTTTTCAAAGAAATAAGCATTTTGAAAGTCATATTAAAATGTGTTTTTTGTGAATTCAGCAAGTTCGATTATGTAAGTACAGAATATAACTCGAATTTACTCTTAATACCTGAAAAATTAAAATAAAATAGAGCGTGTGAACACCTAAAACTAAACTATCGCAAAACTGTTTAATCTTGCTTTGATACCAGTGAACTTGTGGGTGCGCACAATAGTTACTCGATTTTTAGTTGTGCAACTAAACAGTTGAATTGGCTGCGAAACAATCGACGATCAACAATGCGCCCGCTCTAAATCTAACGGAATACTACAATGTCTTAACCCTCCTCTGGAATTCAAAAACACATTCCTTTTTGTATAAGTCGTTAACAATAACTTTAAAGATAAGATAGGTGAATGAAATGGAACAATAAATACATTGTCTACAGTTTGACGCATTAGAAATGTTATTAGATTGTTCGCATAACAAACAGCGATGATTCCCAAACATTTCCTGTCAGAACAAAGCAACGGTACCTTCAAAATGTGGAAATACCAATAACATAGAATATAGGTAAATACAAAAAATCGCAAAAAAAAAACAAGTTATTTATTATAAATTCGAAAGTTATGTGGATATTTGTTAGAGTTTGTGACTGAAATTTGGCACAGATGTAGAACATAGTTTGAAATAACACATAGTCTACTTACTAAGTTTCTTTCTAATTTCACGCTGACAAAGTCATGGGCAAAAGCTAACTTATGAATAATTTTCCAACCATCAGCCAGTGACGTTTTAATACTGAAATCTTTGATCTATTATTGAGATACTGTTTAAAAGAAAGAAGTTAACATTACCAATGCTTGGTAGCCATGTCACGTTGAGCTGAAGCTCATGATCTGCTCCTTCTAGGGGCAGAGGATGTACCTCAACACCTAGCGGCAGCGCAGCGTGCTGTACTGCATGAAGCTGCGTCATACCAGGGTCCTGGAATTAAAGTAATATGTCATAAATATGATCCTATAATCCACTTATTTTAATAATCTTTTCAAAAGTACAGTTTGGGTTAAAAAAAAATTGGTCCTAATGTAATAATTGCGAACGTTTAGACGGATGTTTGTTAGAGTTTCTAGCCTAAACTGCTGAACGGATCACGATAAAATTTGGCATACACTTAGAGGATAGTCTGGAAGAACACATAGTCAACTTACTTTTGTTTTTTTTAATGCCCCGCTGACGGAGTCGCATGAAAAAACTAGTACAGAAATAACTATCACTGGATTTGGTTGTTTAGAATTTAAATTGGGAATTACATCTTAGAATTACGTTTTAAAATATATATTACTAGCTTTCGCCCGCGACTCTGTCCGCGCGGAATTAAAAAAACAAATGCGAGTACCCTATGGGTTGTTCCACACTATCCTCTATATATATATATGTGGGGTTGTGGCTCGATCAAATAAAAATAAACTCGTTAACTATCGCTGTTTTTAATATTTACACCATTTTACAAAAAAAACATCTTATTACATCGTCGTTCCTCTTTTTTCTCCGACTCCCAACTTAAAACTAATTTTAAACGAACGTCAAAATATAAAATTCGAAACCAATTAAAAAGAAAACATATTAAAAAGAAACATATTTAACCTCTTTATAACCTCTTACAACCTCCTTATCCTACATATATACCAAATTTCATCGAAATCCTTTCAGCGGTTTAGGCTAGAAACTATGACAAATATCCATCCATCTAAACTTTCGCATTTATAATACTAGTAAGATAAGTATGAAGTATTATAGTCCCCCAGACAAGAAAGTTTTTATCTAACGATAGTTCAATCGGGTCGTCAAATCATATAACGGCTCTACTTTAAAGAATGTCCTAATCAAAATAAGTTTTATTAATAATACTTTAAACAATATATTAACTTTTATTACTTCTTCAATAGAACATCGAAACAAATTCAGTTTAGTGAATGATTCAGTTCGCGGATCATTGTCCACAGACGAGAGAAATATTACATTAATAGAAGATTTAATTACCATATGCGATCAGCGAAAGCGCGATCCAAAGCAAACACATCACACGTCAGATTTACAACGGTACGGTGACGCAACTTGTCTAATAACAGCTGGCAATATTCATGGAATATGTAAAATAACAGTCGGATTTCATTGTATAACATTTATTAAAATTATCCCTTTAATTATCTTTAGAAAACACCGATAACAATGTTTGTCTCAGGTTTGTCTGAAGGGCTCAAAACTAACCCTAATATAGGGTATTAGGTTAAGTTAATCGCTGCACTGTGGGTTGACTTCACTCATATCTTTGAATTTCTTTACCGGACCGTCGCAGTAATGTATAAAATTCTAAATATGAAAATATTAAATTCGAAAGTAACTAAATAAAAACATTCCAACACAAGTTTCGCACCTGCAGATTACAAATCAACTTAATATTATGGAGAGAAAAGATTTGTATTTTTGTATGTATTGAAAAAACTCAAAAACTACTGGTAATTTATCTGTGAGTAAACTTAAAAAGGTAATTTATCTGTGAGTAACATAGGCTACGTTTTTTCTTATTTTTAAATATCACGCGGACGAAGTCACAAGTAACAGCTAGTAATCGATATTCTAATTCATTTAAAAATAAATGCCGTAGAATTTTTGCATAAGTTACTTTGCCGATTCTAGCTTAAGTCAAGGTTTACAAAGAGAGGCAGAAAGGTGTTCAGTATTCGATCAAAATCTCGTTAAATATTGCGCGTGTAGCGCACATCTCCGATAATGTAGACAATAAATATACCCAATGTAAACGTCTGCAGTCATGTGGTTCAATCCATCATCGTAATATTACGAATGCAAAATCTTTTACCGGACCGACATTTTTATGTATTACCTCACATATCGAAGTGTTTGTATTTAACAGAGTGGATAATGCTGTATGCTTGTTAAATTTACGACCCATATGTAACGTTGTGAAATTTTTTTCACAGACTATTTTACTATCGCAATTCGATTTAATCCGATAACGTTTCGTGCAAAAAATAGAAAAGTTAAAGATATCTTAAGTGCTGAACGATTTTGATAGTGAAATACTTTCAATTTTGTTGATAGTAGGGTTTTAGTTTAGTTTACAAGAGACCGTTTGAATGACAGAACACACACGTCAAGTAGAAGTAATTTTTTCAACTCGAGTTTCATCTGATGTGGAGGCTAATATTCTCTCTTCTCCCGAAGTATTTCAGGGGAGATACAGGAAGGGGAAATATGCTTTACCTTCTTTTATAAAAAAGAAACAATGGCGACAACATAATGATTTAGAGTAACCTTAGCTAAACCGATTTTCTTGAGGTCGTTGTCTTACAGAGGTACAGTCTGTTGCGCTTGATTTGTTTTTTACTGACTCGGCAGGTTAATGCTCTTGGCACGTATGTTTTTATATATGGGATTCTATTTTGAAACAAGTGTTATACGAAAAATCGCCTCTATTTGTTTGGGGATGCTGAGTTTTTGGTGTTTTTTACTTGTAAATAAATCAGTTTTCGCTGAATGTTTTACGTCAAGGTATGAGTTATGCAAGTTGTATCAGCTAAGAGAGTGACGGATTACAAATTGCAATGACTTTACAATTTTTAATCTATATTTATAGTTTGTACACACGTAGTATGAGCGAAATTACTGTAAAAAAAATTAACCTCATCTAATGTTACGTTACATTATTTAGCTCTCAGAGTGTCAGTGAGATAGACACTTTAAATATAATTGTATATATTGTACTGTGTTCAATAAAATTAAATAACCTATTTCAAACTAGACAATAGATAATCGTGACGTTGAATTGCTTGAATGATTACTTCATTTGTTCAGACAGAATAATCGTAATAAAGTTTGCATTAATCAAATAGTTACTTTTTAATAAGTTAATCAAATAGTAATAAATTAGGTTACGTTCAGTTGTTATTAAATATATATGATACGCAAGGAGTATGTTATCACGTATTAAGACAACTGCACTTACGTGAAAGAAAGGCGGTCTAGGTGGACCGTGACGTAAGCCATCGAATCCGTCATCCTTTCGTTCGTAACCGAAACTTAAACAAACGCCACTGCATTGTATAAGAAACAGAAATATACACAGAACACGCACACTTAGCACATCCATAGTTAACTAGATAAATGTTAGAAACAAAACACTTGCGTCACATATTTTCTTTGAATAAAACAAACTGCACTAAACATCCGCGTTGGAAGACATTGATTGTTTGTATCAATAAGTGATTATGATAAGCGGCTTCGGTGACTATTTCAGCCGTAACTGATATTAGCTTTGTTCGCGACGCGATAATCCAATTTTTCAAATATTAACCGATAACATACGAGTACTGCATGTTTTTAAACTTAGTAATTAATTTCAATCCTTTTTTAAATAACCATTATTGATACTTTCATTTCTTTAACCGTAATATTATCGGGATAGCGATCTAAAAACCTACCTTTGTTCAAATTTTCTTTGATTGTATTTGAAATAATTTTCGAATTGTAATAATGCCAGCTACATACGTCCAGTTTTGACATTTTAAACCGAAGAGTTAAACTGTTCAGTACAAGCTATACATAGGCAATACTGTAAATGAACAGTTGAACTGGCAGCTAAAATTGTACACACGTAGAGTTTTAACTAATCAGTTCTAAACGTGTGTAACTGACTTTAGATATCTCTAATCAAAGCGAAGACGTGATAATAGATATATAAAACAGATATAAAACGTCTGATTTAACATTTGTAAGTATTACGCTGTTTACAAGTTGGCACCTTCAACATAAAACGTAATGTGCACTTTATGACAAAGCTATAGAAACATTGCTCTGTGGCACTGTGGTAGATATTAAGGTATTGGAGGATTTACTATAAATAAGCAATACGAGTACAACCGTTTTTGTCTTATTAATCTTTAGACAGACAAACAGTCTCTTGGAGTTTTTGAAGTAATCATTCATGTCTAAGTAATAAATTCAAAGACATTACCATCATTTTTGTAGAAGAAATATGCAGCGGTGTCTAATTTTAATTGATGCGACGCCCATGGACATCCGCAAAGCATAGGTAAGTGTTTTTTTTTATTTTTATAGGGATAGGGATAACCAACATATGATGCCTGGCCTTTAATGGAGAGTAATTTATTCCACAACGCGGCTGTGTGAGGTAAGTAGTTACGCGCGTAATTGAATGCCAACCATCGCGGTGGTAACGATAACATTTGGATTTTTCGGCTGATGTGATGGTTCAGCTGCAGGGATGCTGACAAATAATTCTTAGGAACACACCCCGCGATTAAAAATCACAATTAATAAAATGTTCCTATTACGTCAAGCTATCAGAAATAATCTTTAAAAATAATAAAAGTAGGTTGATAAAAGTAATGCAGAATCATTGTCCTAAAGCTACTTTACGTCATAACAAAGATTAAGATATGAAGGCGTGGAAGTTTGCAAATTACTGATAATTCCTAAAACTATAAGATTCGACGACTGTAGAAATGTTTGCTGAAAATCAGATTTTGCAAGCCGTACATTCAAGTGGCAATGAACCTCAGTTTGGGTACCTATAAATCTAGACTCAAATCAGTCAATTTAGATATTAAGATTTTTAAATTACAGTAACAAAGTAACTATAGATTTATAACCTCCAGATATCTTATCTGGACCACAAAATAGTATTGAAAAAGACGCCTTCTGACCCCTAATTACATTAGAAAATGATATCATGACCAAACACATCTACAGTAATATATCTGGTATTAATAAAGTAATGGATTATTGGGTTATTATGATAGTAATGCGGAACACACCCGAAACTGTCGATTGCTCATCATTAAGTTATTAAATTGGTGCGTCTGTATGTTTAGTAATACGACCACATCGCAAACATGACACAAATATACTGAACAAGTGGTACTACAGTTGGACTACACGTGTGAAAGAACTACGTCAATATTTCTGACGGAAAAGGTCGATATTACAAGGATCTATTGACAGTTCTGATATGCCCCAGTTGTAAGTACTAGCTGTTGCACGCGATTTCGTCCGTATGAAATAAAAAAATGGCAAAAGACTTTATTTTTTATAATTTCATGCGGATTGCATTTCATTTTTCTTTACATTTGTCAAATTCTCAATTGCAAATGTCAAAATGACATGACATGATGACAACCTTGTTTCCTTGATGTTGGCAGCAACTTATGGTCTCTTTCCCACATTAGGGTTTTATCCAAAAAGTTACCCCCTAAGTTTAATGGCGTTAAATAATATAGCCTAAAGCGTGACGCAATTGTAGGCATTTTATTTAAAAAAGAATTATTCAAAAATATGCTATAATTGTTGACATCTTAGGCAACAAAGAAGTGTGTGTTTACGCTGTATTATAATAGTATAGATATAAATTCCTATGTACACAAAGGGATACACCGTACAGAATTGATGTAGATATAATTCGTATTCTACGTCGAGTGTTAGGCACAGCCAAGTTTGGTCGTAAATTATGTTTTGTTTTTATGGCGTGCTTACTGAAATTACGGTGCGCGGTTAACACTCCTACAAATGTACAGTACATATTCGTACGTGCAAAATAACGCTAGTAATATGTAATCAACGATCAACGTTCTATTCGTGTCGACATGAATATAAATAAGTCAACATTCGCACCTTCTCTCACGTTCAAGTTCATAACACTAATATCAACAGGAAAATATAAACTTGCCATGCGATATGTATCACGCGAGCGAAACAAGGTCCGAACTCTGACACCTCGGGCGCTATTCTCGGACTACTTGACATGTGCGATTCAAAATGTTTACACTAGTTGCTGGGAAATATTGAACGTAACTCAACCTTTTGCTCTTTGAAAAAAAAAAAGATATAAGTCTTACGGTACTTTTACTCTATTAGAGTATATTATTACAACTTTAAAGTGTAGCCTACATTGGAAAGTCTAAATACAACAAAAGGATACTTAAAACATTTGTGAAATATCGCAACCCCAAGTGGAAGAGGTCAAAAAATGTATACCAGATAAAATTTACGTTTAAATACTGACGTGCGCGAAATCCCTATAGACCCATCTTATATAACTAGAAAAGTTTTTTATTAAAAAGTGAACTTCATACAGCAGGCAGATTGTAGTCCACCTTTCCTAATAATAGGAAGTATGAGCAAAGTGAATTTTGTTAGACAGGTGATGTATAGAAAAATTATATCCTTTGCAACGTATAGCTGCTTTATGCGTCCGTAATTTCGCTACGAAGCGATCTTAAATAGGAGCCCATTAACCACCTTAAAACATCAAAAAAGTCAATTAGGTGTTTCACGATCTTTTCAATGGACGGACGTATCGCTTTAACAAATACCTAATGTTCGTAGCTTAGTCGTTGCGTTTCAGTAACTGAGTCTATGTCACGGTCACCAACGATTTACAAACCATCATCATCATCCACTTACTTTTATCCCTTACGGAGGGTCGGCACAGTATGTGCTGCTCTTCCATACATCTCTATCAGCCGTCATATCTGAATCCATTCCTTTCTTAAGTATATCCTCTTTCACACAATCCATCCATACTTTCTTCGGTCTTCCTAAACTAACAAACTAAAAAAACTCTTCGATCGATATAACTATATGTGGATTTTATAATCGGAACAGTGCCGATAGAAGGATCATCTTTATACTCTGATTTAGTTACAGTATGCAAATAGTCCATCGAAAGTAACTAAGTTCTTTGATGAAGCATTCATTTCTGAACATCCTATAGTAATGAATACAATGAAATGTATTTTTAATTCTTAGCTACTTACAATTTCCGTCACCGATGTTACTGATGGCGTAGTTATATCTTCAACCACTTCAGAAGCATTCCTATTGGTATGTCTTGATTGTTCAGTACTTGCTTCATTTGTAGTAATATCTAACTCTTTGGAACTAGGAATTTTGTTTGATTGTAACCGCACGTACGCTGGTATCAACATTTTTCTTTGACTCTTAACATCATTTAATTTACTAACAGTTGCGTTTGCAACTGAAAAACCTTCATAGTTTGTAGTTGTGTCAGTCATTTCTTGTACTTTTAGATTTAATGATGTAACGTTATTTTTTACTGTTAACAGTATTAAAAAGCAGACTTCCGACTGCCATAGCTTCATTATGATCACATTATAATGCACTATTTCGTTTCACATTATATAATTGTTTTCACTTTATTTCCAGTCTAAAATCAAAATCGCTCATTGGATAAGAATATTTTAAGCACAAAAAGAAATTTTCTTACATTTTAATTACAGTTTCCACGTGTCCACTAACGTACTCATGTCTTCGTTATCTTTGTTTTTTGTATAGGAAATAAGAAGGACAAAACCATGTTTTTTGTACAAGTGTAGTGGAAACTCACTTAGACTTTACATTCTTAACCGATCTCCATAGATTTTCTTGGGGATTATTCATCAAATTTATGAACTCCTAGTGCCTACAGGATGTAGTTTGTTTATGAAGTTGTTTTGATGTCGATGGATTATCCATACATATTACAAATATTTAAGTAATTTCAAATACGTATTCCTAATTTGTAATATTTGACGTCAATACAGTTTTTATTTACAAAAAAAGTAAACTTTTTAACGTAGATCAAAGCATCAATTATGTTGATTTCTGAAACATTACTTAAAGTAACATTGTTGTAGGAGTAATAGAGTGATTTAAAAAACATCTCCGATGTTACAATAAACCAAATAATCGATAACCATTTCTAAACACTTCTTTGAAAGTTTACAAAAATAACATGACTTACAGAATGCGCGAAACTTCGCGCATTCTGTAAGTCATGTTATTTTTGTAAAAATTCTAAAAAAAATACAATTGTATTTTTTTTAGAATTTAACCTTGCTTAACAGAATACAGAGAATGAAATAATAATTAATCAAATTATTAAAATAGTAATGTCCCATTTAGTTCTTATAGAACTAAAGAAATCAATGTTACTGTTACGAGTAATTAGAAGTTTTTATAATATGTAGTTGTGATCTGAAGTATTTGTAATTGAATATTTACTTTATATTTGTGCACATAAGTAAAATAAACTAATAAACACTAATTAAAATAAAACTTTACACTATTAATAAAGAGAGAAAAACTATCACGATAAATGTCAGTGAAAATTGCCACGTATTTTTCCGCGACGTATTTTCTCGCGTAAGGATTGTTTTTCACGTTTTCAAAGTATGTTTGGGAAAGGAAATGCGTAGCGTTCGGGAGCCGCCGGGAAACTGACGGGCTCCATAGCTACAACGTTCCTGATCCCCTACTATTGTAACTCGCACGAACTTATAACTAGAAGTAAACACGAATGTTCGAGTTTGGATAATTTGGAATTGGATTGATCACTAATATTTTGATTTACTTATATTATTTATAATTCTTTCTCTATTGAAAAATATAAACTGATTGATATGAGCCGATTCGCCATATATTTCGACTCGGCTTCGACTATAGCCTTTTTTTGAAGATTAAAAAAATGCCAGATAGAGCCTAACGGTTAAAATTAAGTAATACCTTTAATTAGAACGTGAAAAGATAAAATAATGCAAAAAATCATAGTAGTGGTGTTCTATAATAGAATGAGGGATTTTTGTTTACAGTTGTCTAAGTTAATTCAGATCGCGCGGAACCCGCGAGAGAAGTTTAATTTGCGTAAAAGGTATCGGATACTTGAAATGTAATAATATTTATATTGTACTGAACAAGATATTGCTGTCGGTGAAACAGACTTAAAATGGAAGACGGTTCATTCATTGTTTTTTTATTTAAATAAAAATTAGAAAGATGTTAATATCGTGTTTGTTACCGTGGACATTTACTGCTGCGACAACTTTAAAGAACATTGTTTATCCAAGAGTGTTCACAAAATTGTATATCACTATTTGTTTTTAAGAAATCTATGGAAATGCATGTTTTTACATACCTTTGTGCTTTCTGCATTAGTTGTACTCCATTTTGTTAAATCGCTATCTTGCAATTTTGTTCTCCAAACTACACATTTTGCACTAAAAGTCGTAGATTTCAGTTAAAACACACTTTATCACATTTTATTTCTTACTAATATCATAAATTCGAAAGTTTACTCGTAGGTGGATGGATGGATGTTTGTTAGAGTTTGTAGCGTAAACGGCTGAACGGATTTCGATGAAATTTGGCATAGATGTAGAGGATAGGCTGGAAGAACACATAGGCAACTTGCTTTTGTTTTTTAATTCCACGCGGACGGAGTCGCGGGCGAAAGCTAGTAATTATAATAATATTATCTACTCTTATTTTTCAGAATCACTTCACTTTATATAACAATTTTCATACAAGTAAATAAAAACACACCACAATGGCCTTGTACATGTTTATTGTGCCTCTTAATTTCGACGTTACAATGAAAGATTTATTGGATAAGGCTAGCCTTTAATATGGCATTGATGAGGTTTTTTCTATACTATTATAATAAAGCGTAAACACACACTTCTTTGTTGCCTAAGATGTCAGCAATTACAGCATATTTTTTTGAATAATACTCTTTTTTAAAAAAGCCCTACACTTACGTCACGCTTTAGGTTATTTACTTTCACACCAAAGTTAGGGGGTAAATATTTTGGATAAAACCCTAATGTGGGAAAGAGACCATAAGTTGCTGCTAACATCAAGAAAACAAGATTGCTATGGTTTGTCATGTCATGTCATTTTGACATTTGCTATTGGTAATTTGACAAATGTAAACAATAAAATAAAATTTTCATAATTACATGCGGATGAAGCCGCATGGTAATAGCTAGTCATACATAAAAAAGTGTTACTAAAACCTATTAATATAAATTGGAACCGGTTCTTGTCTTCTCTATTACTTTTCTTTTATATATCTAATGGATAATGAAACATTCTTTACGAGTTTTTTACGGCGACGACATTTATATTTGTTGGAAAGACCATAATTGGCTTCCAGTAAACCGTTAAGAATTTTATCTAGCGTATCATTACTTGAAGTGCGTGCGACGTTTAAACCGTAAGTTCCCACTGCAAGTGTTACATTTAGAGCCTGTCCCACCAAATTGTAAATTATCTGACAACAATCCAACGTGTAATTTGATGGAAATATCGGATTTTTTTACCTTATCTGACAATTACACTTTCAAGATCTCAGAGCCTCTATGAGCCAGTGGTGGGACAGGCCAAGAATAATTTTCGGCCGTGTAAATCCACGGTGAAGCTTGCTTTGATCGGAGGTGACGGACAGAAAACGAATTGTCAATTAAATTGGCAGATTTTTATAGATAAGCGTATTGTTGTTAAATGTTTGTTTCCATGTTAACAGAAAGTATACGATGGATTTAGAAAATTTAACTAGTAGACTATAAAAATTGTCTAATACCTGCTGGTTCACCATAAATGATTTTTGTACTTTTAAAGAAACTTTAACTGCAAGAAATATGTAACAACTAATAATAAATCTTTAGAGCAGTACAAGTAGTACAAGTAGAGCAGTACAGCAGCGGCGTACAATCACGGATTTGTCGACATTTATTTACCAAACTTGTTAGATCGAAACAGAGTGCCATCTCACTCACTCCCTATATAAAAGAGAGATAGCAATATAATTTCAATACATACTTCAGTGACAACTCACGTTATAAAATCAATTATGGCTTTGACACACAAGGATCAAGGTTATTGTATTTGGTATGTTTGAGAGTTCCACTCGACTTGAAAATTAATAAAACAAGCACTATTAACAAGGTCGTGTAAATTCCAAATAGCAAGCGTCTACGAGAGATAGGATACTCTTGCACTACTTTGCCGTCTGCATTATGACGTCACACATTAACTGACCGTACTGAAACAGAGAAACGCGAGGCGAGGTTAGTAGAACATCTTCTTACTAATCATACTAATATAAATACGAAAGTTGAGATGGATGGATGGATGGATGGATGTTTGTCAGAGTTCGTAGCCTAAACTGCTAAACGGATCTCCATGAAATTTAGCACAGGTGTAGAGGATAGCCTGGAAGAACACATAGGCTACTTACTTTTTAATACCACGCGGAAGAAGTCGCGGGCGAAAGTTGGTTATTCATAAAGGAAAGCAGGTCTAGAGGATAAATTATTACTAGTAATTAATAATTATGAATTGTTATTAAATAAGCAATATATTTCGTCTTGAAAGAGAATTTTACTCGAAAACGAAAAAGCCAGGTGGTGGCACATTCTTTCGTTGCTATGGCGACGTCTTTTATTAAAATATTTCTGATATTGAATTATCCAGCAGAAAAGAATAATTATATTATATTGAATATATCTATGGTTTCTTTCATTGTTATAAGAAGTTTTTTGTGACACCTAATAGGTTTTTTTTAATTTTAATCACGATCTTTTGTACAGGCAAAATTATACAAATAAAATGTACAAAAAATTATTGACTCACAACTTCGATAATTAGTGCGGGCCCAAAAAACATGCCAATAAAGGCCTCCTTAATGAAACGTAACTTGCCAGTCAGGGTGACATATGCTGATTAAATTAACAATCAGTAGTTAATTGTGGATAAGATAAAAAAACCTTAACATAAATTACTTTTACGATAATCTGATAAACATCTTGGTTTTTTCCCAACTTAAGATAGTTTTCTCTAACGTGGCATTACGTTGGAAATCTGAACCGATTTTATATTACACTAACTTTCGCCCGCGAGTTCATCCGCGTGGAAGTTAAAGAACAAAATTATAGTCTACTAGCTTTCGCCCGCGACTCCGTCCGCGCGGAAATAAAAAAAAATCAAAAGTGAGTAGCCTAGCCTATGTGTTCTTCCAGACTATCCTCTACATCTATGCCAAATTTCATCGAGATCCCTTCAGCCGTTTAGGCTACAAACTCTAACAAACATCCATCCATCCATCCATCTAAACTTTCGCATTTATAATATTAGTTAGATTTGTTCTTCCATACTATCCTTTACATGTATGCCAAATTTCACCAAGATCCGTTCAGCAGTTAAGGCTACAAACTCTACCAAACATCCATCCATCCACCTAAACATTCGCATGTATACCATTAGAGATAAGTTGATGTGGAGCGTTTTTTTATTTATAACTTTAGTTTTAGCTATTTTTTTAGCAGTCAAGTTGACTTCTTTGGTACACGAGTTAATAGGCCTTGAAAGAAGATGATCTAAATTGGTTTGGAGGCGGAGCAACTAACAAAAAATTGGTATTACCTATTTGAAGTAGTTTTTTATGTATTTTACAATTTTTGTTTAACTAGGGTGGGACAGGTTTATTTTTTTTCTTGTGTTACATATACAAAGAAATAATCAAGTCTAAAAGAAAATAGACAAATTGTGCGAATTGTCTAGTGTGTAAACAAATGACGTTTTCGCTTCGATAGAAAAGCTTTTTTGAGCACAGGATAGTTAATTTTTCCACTCGGATAGCAATGCCGCGTCCCCAGACCATTTCAGATAGAATAGATTGCTTTATCGAGTAAAAGACTAATTGGCATTATAGAATTTTATATTCCTTTGTGATCGAAGTCGTGGTAACAATTACCACGATACGATACTAATTTTGTCAGATGAAAGGCGGCGACAGCATGGCGCAGCGATGAAACCGCGAGATGGCTAATAAACTTCGTCTACAACGACCGAACACTCGCCAATTCAAACAGTTTGTAACAATAAACAGCGGATTGAAACGTTAGAAGAGTACAACCGATTTAAGAAATCGCATAACGACCCATACACATTTGTACGTATTTTTATGATGACGTCATAATTTTCATAAGCTTTTGTTCGCGTCAATTTAAAAAAAAAAGTAACCTGTGTTCGAGACTGTCATACATTTATGCCTTTCAATATCCATTTAGCTAGCAAACTCTAACATTCCCATCTTATTATTATAAATGCAAAAGTTTAGATAGAAGTTTAGAAAGGAGTCTAGGACATGTAGCCTACTATTATTTATATCGAGTCGCGGGCGAAAGCTAATTTAAATTAGTAAGATTGTCCCTTTCTTGAGTCGTGAGTGTGAGCGAGGCACTATCAGCCTAGCGCTTAATTAGTGACGTCATCACATAAATAATAAATCGATTTTACAGTTCACTTAGTTTAGTTATTGTGTGAAGGGGAAAAGTAAATAAACAGTTTATACAAAGGTGTTTTATTATTTAAATAAATACAAGTTAAAAATCCGCAACACTGCGGGTAGTCGAACAAAAAATCCATACAAAAATACAGAAAAATTATATTAGTTATTTTTATTAAATTCGTCGTCGAAAGGCAAACCTCCCCCTAGGTCTAGTAAACTGGTGATGAATCACAGAATAAACGTTTACAAAACACTAAAACTAGCAATAAATTAAAACAGCATAGAAAATAAATACCTTACGAGAACTAGTTTTTAACAATTGATATGTGTTTTGTTATATTGCGGTTTTTGAAAAAAAAAAAACTTTTATATATTTTAAAAAAATGTCGGAAACAACGGAAGAATGTTTAATTCTGAGTTAATACAAAAATTAAGAACATTTTTTAATTAAAATCATTGAGATAGTTTCCAACATTTTTAAAAAAAATACTCGATCGTATTGAAAAATAGTAAAAAAATACCCGGATTTCAAACAAAATATTAACAAAGAAAAAACATTTCGAAAAGAGAAAATTAAGATATTTTACAAACATTATCTAAGATTTCCAAAAACTAAATGAGTTATAGATTTAACGAAATAAACTCAACAAAATATTGAAAAAATAACCGTGGGTTTCCATTACCTAAATTCTTTTAAGAAAAACAAGTTTTTATGTTTTCGAAGAGATAAGTATGATAATCTACAGGTATTTAGATACAAGTTCAAGATGCGAACAACATAAAAAAACTACTGCGTTAAGTTACACTTAAGTTATATTCACACATCCTTAATTAAACTTAACTTATGGCAAATTTCTTGATCGAAGTTACTTATGCTATACTATTACTGTATATTAAAATCATTACATTGTTTCTATCTAAATTCACTCACAAATCGTTGCCTGCTGTCTAATCATTAATTGGTCACTAAGGGAGACCCTTACTGTAGATTTTTCTAAACACAGAGACAATTTAACGATTGTAGAAGTACGAAGTTAGCACATTCGTTACTAGAAAGAGACAAACGTATACGAGAGAGCGAGAAAGTACATTTTAATTGGTACACAAATTAGTGAGAAAATTGAAACTAAATATTTTTGTTTTATATCGAGCGTTTAAAATATGTATAAAACAAAAGAAACAAAGTCCCATTTCCATTGAAATATATTAACAAGATATGTTAAACCCCAACACTAAAACTCCATACATAATCTTAACTACTTGAGATTGACTGGCAAGGTAAAAAATAATCCATACAAATACATACAAAAATGAACTTTAAAATCACTGCAGTTACATTAATCCCATCTTTGACCAAAACTATAATTTTATTGCAAACAAAATTGAGCTCTTATCCATAGTCATAAGGTTTAATTTTCCTTTTACTTTTGATACAAACATGCTAATTGAAATTAAACCTTAACTCAATATCATAAAGCTCAATTTGATTCACAATAAATTCTGCACGTACATTCTAAATTCGAATCCTGTGACGTCACTTCGTCAAAGATAGTAAAAGGGATGCAGATATATAATTATCACTAAAACTATGAACACCACATTATATTAAAGTTGCAGCACACCTGCGGCAACAAGCATCAGTTGGTCGGCTCTTCGGGTTTGGCGAGTCCTTGCGCGTACGCGGCGAGAATACTCTCACACACGAATTTATATTGACTCTGTGGAAAAATGTTTATTTTTAATTCGATTCCAGCATATTCTTACAAAAGATTGTTTTCATAGACTAGCTTTCGCCCGCAACTCCGTTCGCGTGGAATTACAAATCAGTAGTTTTAAAAAAAGTTAGTAGTCTATGTCATCTTTCACAATCCTTTTATTTATGGTTAATTTTATCGAAATCCATACAACAGTTTAGGACAACATAGAGAAGAAGCAATTGTGATAGTAATCGAAAGCGGAATGGGAGAAAGAGATAGACATCTACATTTCTTGAGTGAGAGAGATAGATATATGTATGTCGCTCACGACGTCGAGCGAGTAGAGGAGCAACAGAGACAGCTGTAGCTAGAGGTGGTGCGGTGCGAGCGAGACAGTGACAGTACTCACAGCATTCTGTATGCACATTGGGCGCTGCGCCCTCATGGCGCGCACCAGGTCCAGCGGGTAGAGTGGCTGCTGCGTGGCCAGCAGCTGCAGCGCCGTCTCCGCCAGGATGAGCGCGCCAGTGCGCCCCACGCCAGCGGAACAGTGTACGATCAGCGGCGGCGCCAGCACGCGCTCCGACCACGTCTCATCGGAACTCGGTACCACTGAAAATTAAATTGATTTATTGGTGTAACAATAGATTTTACAAATTATTCAGATGTAGGGACTTTTAAGTAACCAATAGGTGTTTGTGATAGGAAGTCCCGCTCTTCCGTCTCACACATTATGTTGTAAGGACAGGACAACCACTGGAACAGTAACAATGAGATTCATCATTTTTTCATCACCAGTCTACTAAGGGGCTCGGAACCTACCCTAAGTTAGTGACTAGCTCATAGTCAACCTTGCTGCACTGCAGGTTGACTAACACATATTTTGGAATTTAATTAATATGTGCAGATTATATCACTATTTTCTTCCATCGTAAGAGCATCAAGTAAAAACATGTACTTGAGGAAACTGGAATCGTTTGAACACAAGATTTTAAATATGTCTACATGAAAATAAATCGGTTAGTGATACAAGGTTAGTTTTGTTTTATTATACCTTCGTTTGCATTCACTATTTAATTAGTTGTTTCTAGAAAGACGCGGATTGGTCTCTTTGCATTAAACAAGGCAATATTCTATAACACCGCAGATTTCTATGACTGTACATTAGAACCCAGGAGCTGTAGATTACAAGTGGTTACTTTGAGCCCAAGACACTAACGTGATGTTAGCGATAGTGTAACAATTTTTTTTTATTTTTAAGTATGTAATCATACTAATATTATAAATGCGAAAGTTTAGATAGATGGATGTATGTTAGAGTTTGGAGCCTAATCGGCAGAACGGATTTCGATGAAATTCGGTACAGATGTAGAGGATAGTCTGGAAGAACATAGGACGCAGTCGCGGGCGAAAGCTAGTGTGTATTTACCGGCGTGCCTGTTGCGCAGCTGCGCGCAGAGCTGCGTGAAGGCGAGGAAGGCGGCGGCGTCCTCCGGCACGCCGTGGTCGGGCCACGCCGTGTACTGCAGCTGCGTCACGGCGCGGCTCCCGCCCTCGCACTCCTCACACACAACATACAACACACGTATACTGTCTCACTCTGTTAATCTTCTTAATACTATAAATGCAATAGTTTAGATGTCGGTGAAATTTGGTATAAGGCTAGAAAGAGATGGATGGATTGCGTGAAAGGTGACATGATCAAGAAGGGAGTGATGGCTGAGATGACGGATGATAGAGTGCTTTGGAGGACGAAAACCCGGTGGCGCCGACCCTACGGGAGTAGGATAAGGCAGGGGAGATGATGATGATGATGATGATGAAATTTGGTATAGGTGTATAGTCTACAAGAACAAACAGAATAATCCCGGAAATAATTCTAGTTCCCGTGGGATATATTAATTTTTGTTTTTCTTTCATGTTTGCTGGATAATTTTGACATATATAAAACAAAGTATACAAGTAACACATGAGATAAGATTCATCCTCGAAAAGTCTGGTTCCCGAAGAATACGTTGTATATCTTTAAAACCGCGCGGACGAAGTCGCGGGTAACAACTAGTATATTATATGATAGAAAAATGAAAAGCTTATGTTGTGATATGAGTTACAATAGTCGAATGCCAGAATTCGAACTCACGACCGTAATATCAGTAGCCCGTACCCCAAACCATTAGAGCGCAAACCTTTGACTAAACAATCGCAAAACTAGTGCGTGATTGTCGATTACTTAAGCCAATTGTACTGTTTAGTTGCACAAGTAAAATTCGAGTTGTGTGCGCATATAACCTCATAGGAACCAAAGAGAGACTAAACAGTTGTGCGATAGTAAAAGATGTGTGCGCGGTTTTAGGCTATTGGCATTTTCATATAGTTACCTCTATAGTGATTTCCCTCCTGATATAATGTCCCATATGTTGTTCACTGCGCGTACGCACTGTAAGGCGGTGGGTGACAAGCGGGGAGGGGATAGGGGTGGAGGGCGGGGCGGATGGCGAGGTAGGGGGCGGGGCGGTGGGCGGGGCGGCGGGCGTTGCGGGGGGCGGCCAGTACTGGTGGCACTTGGCGCGGCCGCGCTCCGCCACCACGGTCAGCATCACCACCACGCTGCTCTCGCTCTCCCACACCATCTGCCAGAAGTCGCCAACAGTCGATGCTAAAGGACCTGAAAGGGTACCAAACATTTATTAGCTGTTGCCCGAAACTACGCCTATGAAAAAAACAACATATCCCACTGGAACCTGACATTTTTATGGTACAAATTAAACATTAACAGCTATAAAAAAAACTATTTATCCTTCGGGATTCTAACATCTTTCAGATATGAACCGTTTCCCATTTGTTACTTCAGTGTTTGTTTTATATCTGTGCCTAATTTCAAATGTTATCGAGTAAATATATAAAATCCAGAATGAACATATCTCAAGGGAACCGGAAATATTTTCGGGTTAAAAAATAACCAATGTGTTCTATCCTCTATCCTACATATCTATGCTAAATTTCATCATAATTCATAAAACAGTTTGGTCTACAAACTAACATACATCCATACATTTCAACTCTCGCATTTATTAAGATTTTTCTGTATAAATCGTTTATGTATGGTCAACTAGCGGTCACCGGCAACTTCCTCAAATCGTCTAAACGAGAAAATCTTAACCCTAACGAACAATGGGCTAAAATGGAATATAAAATTATTATAAATATATTTTTACCTTGTGTAGCGATGTAAGTGAGAACATTATCCGAGTTTGGTATTTCCATATTAATATACGAAGCATTAATGTAATCTCCCGTCTGTCCGTTCTTAAGTATTACACGCGTAGAATCATCTGCGAATAATATTGAACTATATTAGTGAACAAAATTATATAAAGTAAATATTTCAAAACCATAATTGCAATATTTATTGTTTCTTTGGTATGTTGTCATTACTAAGAAATATATTACTAACGGCTGAATATTGAAACGACATTAAAATAGCGTAAACAGCGTTTTTAATTATAAGGCCAAACATATTTCAAATTGCATTAAATTTTGACATCAGATTTCGCTTAAAAGCTTAGTGTTCACTATTTCTCCAATACAAAAAAAAGGTTTTCTGTATTTAAAAAATCTTTTCAATAAAAAATCCACTCACAAGGCGCAATATCCCTGTATCTATTCTTAGCGAGGTTGCACTGTCTCTTGGCGGCGGTTGCGGGGTATTCCAGTCGTCGTGCCAGTGCCTCGTACTGGCGTAGCGCAGCGCCTGATGCAAGTCCGTCGCCCAGCAGCAGCAGGGACTGCTCCACCCCCCGCCCTCCTCCCCCTATGCCGCCCCCAACGCCCCCCAGCGGCACAAAACATGCCTCTGGCTCTTCACTACCTAGAGTTTCATCCGCTGAATACACCGCTGTAAAAAATCAAAATATCATATTATCTTACTATTATAAATGCGAAAGTTTAGATGGATGGATGTTTGTTAGTTTGTAGCCTAAACTGTGAATGGATCTTTGTAAATTTAGCATAGACGTAGAGAATAGTCTGTTAATTCCAGGTCGGAGTCATAGGCGAAAGCTAGTTAATATAAATGCAAGTTTAGATGGATGTTTTATGAAATAAATACGTATTAATAAATTACAAGAATATAACGGTTATTATAAAAGGCATATTTAGTAAATAGTTAAAAGGTAACTCACCATTAGGTTTAACAATCAATGTCAATACTCCTTTGGTATTTCTTATCATCTGTACAACTTCGTCGTGCGTCATCTCGTCGACGTCTTTGTCGTTTATTGACATCACCTGGAATACAGCATAAGCCAAATTAAATTCAAAAGAGAAAATCTAATAAGAGAAATAAGCGAAAAGGGCTCCTATGTAAACTGTTACATGTGTAAAACGAAAATTATGCAGACAAAACATTAATAATTAATACGATTAAATACGACGCATCAAATATTCGATAGATAAACAAAATCTACAATTCCTTCTAGATACTTTCAAATGTACATAGAAATTAATATTTACTAAGTTAATTTAAGGATACATTCAAGGGAAGAATTTTAAAATCTGTGGTTTACGATAGTTTACGTGAGAGCCATCGACCTATTTCATAACAAGTGTATTAACACCTTAATTGCTAGCAACTCGCGTGTCAAGTACACTTGAAGACAAAAACAGACTAATTGAGTACCTCCTTTCAGGAAGTCGGTCAACTAGTTCAAAGTTTACCTGATCACCTTCTTGCAGCATAGCCCTAGTGCGGGGGGCGACTCTAGACACGAGCACGGGGGCGCCCCCTCCCCCGCGCACGTTGAACCCGAAGCGGCCGTCCGCCCCCGCCGCCAGCCGCACGCACACTGCGCCCTCCGCGTCCCCGTCCTCAGCCTCCCCCTCGCCCTCCCCCTCCCCCTCGCCGCCCCCGCACGAAGACTCTGACTCGTCCGCGTATGATAAGGGGACACGTAACACGCTCTCTAGTATGTCACCACCGCTTCTGGAAATACGACATGCATGGTTTATACTAGGCCAGTTGGAGGCAAGCTAGTGTTTACAGAATGCCAGTCCAGTTCTCAAAAGTAATCATGTAGAAGTGAAACTACCATTTACAATGTTTTACTAAAAAAGATCAAATTGCGATTTAAAAAAAAAAAAAACAATGTTTCCAACTGGTACAGCCGGGGAATTTGGCGGTGTTCCCTATTAGCACTATTCATTTTTGTACGTTTATGCACAGCTATTACTTCGTTTGAAGAAGCGGTACAACTAATAGGAAGAAATTTTAAATGTAAGTCAGTGGTCTTATTTATTAAATGATTTATATTATCCTGTCATTTGCAAAATTCACTACCACTGCATTTAAAAGAGACGGAGTGTTTCTAGTTGCAAGGAACATTGCAATTCTGGAAGTATAACACCGCGGATTGCCGCGATTGTACATATAAAATTCTATTGTCAATGAATATAAGACCGTGTTAGGAGGTGTTAAGACTCACTGTTCATCCGGCGAGTCGCCCCAGGCGGGCTTGGGCGGGGGCTCGTGGTGTGCGACGCGCGCGCCGCGGGGGCCCGCCGCGGGGGACGGCCCGCACGCGCCGCCAGAACGCTCCCGGGTACGGGAACTACTGCCCCTATATATCGCATTTTTATAAGAAATGTAACATTAACTGATTAGAGTAGGTCGTTTCAAATATCTTGACGAATCAGTCAAAGGCACCGCGCAATACTTGAGATATATTCCCATAATAGAGAAACTTTATAGTAAAAATATTACATAAAAGGAATTTTCTTGGTACACTTATTTTTTCTCTATAAATAAAAAAAAAAACTGGGACATATAGTGAGTGAGTGAGGATGTGTCTCCTTCCTGTGCGTCTCCTCCAGCGCCAAAACTTCAACCACTTTTCTTTCTCATCCCTTCTTAAAAAGGATGGAAAGGGAAAGGGACTTAAAATCGGATAATTCCCAACCGTCACCCCGCTCTGTCCCCACGTGAGAATAAAAAGTTTCATCCGCACCACCTTTTAGTCCAACTATCAGTAATAAGGAGACAGATGAAAACGTTAAGAAATAAATACGTACCAACCGTCCGTCCCCTCGTCGCAAAAGGTGGGACGGATGAAACTTTTTATTCTCATGTCTCGACATGTGGACAAGGCCGGTGACGGTTAGGAATAATCTTTAACTTCACGTGATTATAAGTGTATTTACCTGACAAAGCTCCTATTGGTGGAGCGCGAGCGGCGCGCGTCCTCCAGCGCCTGCGCCTCGGTGCGGCGCGGCGGCGCGGGCGCGGCGCGGGCCAGCGCGGCCAGCAGCGGGCGGCGGCGCGGCGCGCGCAGGCGGAAGAAGCCGTGCCGCTCCACGCTGCAGCGCCACAGCGCCTTCGCGGCGCGACTCGACTGCATGTTGAACCCTAACACCGTGTCGTAAGACTCCGACTGGTGTGCAAAATTATACTAATATTATAAATGCGAAAATTTAGATGAATGGATGTTTGTTAAAGTTATTTTTTTTATTTTAATTCAACATGTACAAACTCTTGTCCGTACTCTTTTTATGTCTTTTTTGCTTTATTTTGATTAACATATACCGATTGTTACCTAAACGGTTAAACGGATTACATAAAATTTTGTATAGATGTAGAGGACAGTCTCGTAGAATACATAAGATACCCACTTTTATTTTATTAATTCCTTGGGGAAAAGTTAGTCTTTACATATGTCATACATTACGTTCATATATTTCGAGTCTCTATGCAGAAATGCAGTTACTCTGTCTACCTTTGTAGCTCATGAAGTAATGACATTAAAGGAAGTAATAAAAACTTACGGGTTCCCGTTTAAGTTGTATGAAGAACTGTTTCTTCTTGAATGAGATCTTAACAATCTTGCTCCAAGAGAACGTGTTGACGCGTATCGTGTTCTGGAACACGACGATACCGATTGACGTCACGCCAATAAATATGTCCTTTCCATTGTAATCCTGAAAATTACATTATTATTTATTACATTTTGAACAAACAAAAAACCATATTCTTGATTAATATTTTTGCAAGAAAACTAACAAAACCGTCATAGATTTTATTATTTTTAAATACTTTTTATAATCAATTGAAACAAGATATACAGTCGCGAAAATCCGCGGTGTTTCACTTTAGATAAAATTGCCTTATACATTGCAACAAAATGAACTATATAGCAGTCAGTGGTGCAAACGAAGAGATAACAATAAAAAGAAACTAACAATCTATCACTATCGTATCGTTTCAAAATGGCAGCACCGCCAAATTCCCTAACTGTACATTTAACACTTTGATGGGTGGAAAAATCATAAAAGCCGCCTTAATGTATCAGTGCAAAACCTTGACCTAGTGAATTTAGTGTATACCTTAGCTGGATGTGATTCCACACCATAGCAGTCCAATCGCTTAGCATGTTCTAGGAAGTTAGCCTCAGCATCTGCGGGAGATTGTCCACGGTGCAACTTGTGCAGTTCCCGTATCCGGCGCTCGTCTTCCGCGCATTGACGGTTCAACAAACGAAACGAAGATAGATACCCGTTGTTGTGCTCATTGGCATTATAATCGCCTAATTCAGCTGGAATTACATACATACTGTGTTATTCCTAGCTCGCGATTCCATCAGCGTAGGGTTAAAAAAAAACAAGTACATATGTGTTCTACCCTATGTGTCTATCCTCTAAATATGTGCCAAATTTCATTGAGATTCATTCACAACAATTTTTGTGTTATAATATTTTTGTATTTTTTTAATATTACCTTGTACAGTAAATGAAGCTAGTAGCAATGCTGTATTTTTGGGCGCTGTCATCCTACCATCCAGTAATAATTTCCGGACTTGTAGACAAAGGAGATATCTGGTAAATTCCTCGGACAAACGGCTCGGCTCCGGAGGATAGAATCGGACAGCAAGCCAGAACTGTGCATTAACACCGACTTGCTTCTTCACTGATTTGCCACTGTCTAGCCAACGCTGAAAAAAAAGAAAGCAAAAGTATTGTTTAAGGAACTTTCTTACCGCAGCTGGTTTCAGACATCCAAAAAATTAAGATAAAAAGTCTAATAAAATAAAACTAAGGATTTTGAATGAATAAAATATTATTAAAACCACAAAACTATATACATATAGGTATTCTGTTCAATGATATTAACACACAGCAAGATTAATAATAAAAAAACCTATTAAATAAATTAATTAATATGTAAATTTAAATAACAAACCTTTTTACATTATTAAATTTGTCAGGGAAATAAAAAGCTCACTAGTATATTAAATCGAGTTACTGAATAATCATATTTTAATTTTACACTAGCAGGCGTCAGTGGCTCCATCCGCATGTTATAAAATAAACAAAACTAAGTAGCCTATGTGTTCTTCCAAACTATTCTCTACATCTATACCAAATTTTATCGAAATCCATTCAGCCGTTTTGGCTACAAACTAACAAACATCCATCCATCTAAACTTTCGCATTTATAATATTAGTATTAAATATAATACAAAGTTAAATTGAGATAAAACACTAAAAAAAATGCAGATTTACCAAAAAAAAAAAATTGTGTGAATCATCAAGATAATGCAATAAAGGACAATTAAACATGCATTCTTACAACTTAGTAGCATTGTTGAGTCATATGTCAGTAAAAATTTAATTGTTTGATAAAAATGCAATGCAATTTAATTTTATTGAAATAGACAGGAAGTTCCTAACCTTTTTTCTTGACAGACCTCTTTCAGTTTTAATGCAGACAGTGGTAACAGTATGATTTGTATGGTTAATTTTTAAATTTAAGCAATTTTAGTGGTTCACATACAAGCACATCTAAAAGCGAGCCTTCCAGCCAAGCCTGTTTTGGTTAAATTGATAGTAAAACATCTAATAACAGCTCATTTTCTTCACTCATTTTTTACTATATGAGATGGTTATAAATAAAAGCATAATGCATGCATGCAGTATGACAAATTACATTGTTTATGTTTTCAATTGTTATTCCTAACAATTATTTAACACAATAAACAAACACAAATCAATTGTTTATCAATTACTCAGGCAATTGGGTCAGTAATATGCAATTATCTATAGTAATGTGATAAATCTTATGACCAAGTTCTGAAACAAATCTCAAAAACTTAATACACACCGCTAACAATCTGTTGGATGTCGAAATTTTAATGTAATTTGCTAAATATTTAAGAGTTCTTTCAGTATTGATCTGTAAGACATTTGATTGAATATTTAGTGTCTTATTGACGTGATACTTTTTTGTAGTTTTCTTAAATATTACAGTATATGAACTTCATGAGTCATGCAGAACACAATTTAAGGATGTGCACTCCACAAGTTATTTAAAAAACATAAAGCAGAATGTTAATCGCAAAAATTGTATGAGATAATTTTACAGAGTCATTAATATTTGAACTATGAAAGGTGCAGTAAATCAACAGCACAGCTAGTTTAAAGGTAATATGTAAGTTACCGTTATTTCACTATTTGTGGCACTCGGTGGAGATCCATTTTCCGTAAACTGCAGTCCAAAGTAATCTTTTTCAACTAATTCCAAATGTTGGAAAACTAATTCTAGTAGTACACTGCCTTTTGCTTTTTTCTGAAAAAAGATATTCAAAATTAGGTACTCCTATTATAGATGGTTTTTATAACTCATGCTTTGGTCTACATGGGATTTAAAAAAAAAGTAAGTAGCCTATGAGTTCTTCCAGTCTGTGCTATGTCATCTATTCTTATTTAATAATAAAGTTTAAAAGATTAGAGAGTTTTGGTAGCTTTTTAAGTTAAATGCTTTAATAATAATTCTAAAATTATTATTATTACATATTAAATATTTAGTAACTTCAAAATTTAATTTCAATTTCAATGTTATTTGTTGTATTTATGTAATGTGTTGATCAAGTTAATTGGAAACTGTGCAGGTGGAAACAAAAATGCATAAACAATAAGTAATTTTATCCTTCCGCGACTTATTAGTAGCCTGTAGCTTTCTAACAGTTTAGTACATCAATAATTATAATTTACCGCATCCTTAGTTTAAAGTACAGGGGATGAGAGGACAGTGTTCTCAAACTCACCTCGATTTGAAACGATTGCTGGGTTTCGTCCAAAAGTTGTACGGTGACATTAAATATGTTTAGCTTGCGTTCTCGCGCCAGTTCTGATGCGCGCACGTTGTATGTACCACTTGAACTACTGAACGCGCGACGCGACACACTCTCGATCATTTCATCGATTACTCACTACCGGATTCCTATCAGACAAGTCAACAATACTCCTCCGTTATCGAAACGGCGCGCTCGCCGACACTACTCAGAACGCATTCTCCTAGCTAATGAACCTCTAACCTTGTGATTCATATGACCTGGCCATAAAACAATTGTCCTCATAACATCACAGCGAGGTTTTCCTGGCTGCTAATGACGCAATGCGCGGCCCCATACAGTAATTACTTTTCTCCTTTTGCATTTTGTCGCTCTTTATTATTGTCAGATGATATGAAATCCGTTGTTTTTATTATACTTAAGATAAATAACGTGAGACAACTGTATTTACTAACAATATTATATGACGGATTATTTTTTTCGTTTTTCCTCTATTTATATTTCACTATCACATGCTTGTTAGTAAATATTTTAATTAAATTACTCTATACACTCGCTATTATGAATCTTCGCCATATTGAATTTGTTTGACTTTGATTGGTTTCATTTCATACTCATCCTTCCTGCTGCTAAACGTTCCGGTTTAAGTCTATTTTAGTTTGATTGCTTCTATTAAAACTTACTAATAAATACTCGACTACACGACTAGTTATTTTTTAAAACACAAACATATTTTAGGTATTTAAAATAAAACATCACTTTACTATCAAATAATTAAACAAAGTCAAAATAGGTAAAACGAAACGTTTATGTTCATTCGATTGACGTTTGACAGGACCGACTCTACCAAACCTGTCATATTATGACAAACAAATCGCCATTAAGGCGGGGAATTTAAGTTAAAATTAAGGTTTAAACTTATTTTTGCAATTGAAATATCCTGTCGTCGTATATTATGACAAAAATCTTGCAATCTCTATATAATACTAGAAGTGCGGCATATGTCGTCACCAGGTTTGAATAAAAAGTATTACCCAACTCGTTTTCCGACGTATCACCTTTAGCTGTTGTATTTCGTAAAAAATCAATATGTAATATATTGTGATTTTTCTAAATACCAAGTGAATAATTTAAGAAAAATATCTCTATTTGTTGTTCATCTACTAGCCTTTAATCTTTATTTATTGATAGTGTGTTTGTCACATAGTGGGTCTACAAATTAAATTGCTTTCTATAAAAAGGATACCTTGTAGTTTGTTTAATTTGACGACAGAGATGATGGGTACTGGAGTTATTATAGTTAAGGGTAAAGCAATAAAACAATCAGTCAAACAGTTATCTGCCTTTAATCCACCCCTCTTCGTAAACCAGCAGCCATAGTCTTTCATTCGGTACCGTTACAGGAAGAAAAAAATTAATACGCTAGTACATATTGTTACAGTTTGGTTTGAATATGTGTTACAGATGAAGTTATGTGTAGTAGACCTTTATAATTGTATTTTAAACTATTTTATTATAGATTATACATGCGGATCATGAAAACCAGTGGTGCGACGCGATTTTGCCTCGTTATTTGTTTAAAAATAGCTTTATTATAACGGGACTAGCAGTTTTATAGTTAAAATTATTATTTGTACTTAGCATTCTATGCTTCGTTCTATTACGCTAATGTTTGTGGGGAATCAGGTTTTTTTAATTTTATTTACTGGCAACACAAGTATCTTTACTTATTGAATGGCAAAGACTATTAGCAATTATTTATTTTAATGCAATTTGAAGAAATCATTTTGAGTACTATGATGACTGTAATACGAGCGGTTTTTCTATGAAAATACTGGCAATAATGAATAACCGGTAAAAACCAGTATTTCAAGCAAATTTATCGGTACCGCGAAAGAGGGAAGTTTACAAACCGCTGTGGTTTTGTCATATTTATTTATATTTGGGCTTATCCAGTAATTCTAACATAAGCCTTGACCCAGCGGGGAAGGCAGTGACAACCGATTCTGATACACCTCTCTCTTCTACGTTCAAATTTACAGTAAAATTAAACAGTAATTGGTTTGAAGATGATAATATCTAGGATCAGAAAATATTTATAAAAAAACCTGATTCCATAAATATAAGTACATATTTATAACAGCAACATCGCGTCACACTTGTCGATTGTCTGTTTACCTTACTGCTTGTGGTTGTAGTGTTGTGTTGTAGTCGATAAAAAATCCCGTTTTCTTATATCAATTTAGATTATGGCCGAACATTCCTCGATTTTTTCATTATCATTAAATACACATTTTTTTGCACTTGTAATAATTTTTGAAAATATAAATTTCGATAATATTTTTTTTCACCTTTGTTTCCTAAATATTAATCCAAATAGTTTTTTTATTATCCTTAATATTGTATTTACAATTTTTCAACAGCCGAAAAATATGTTCATTTTTTTTATAATATTATTTTTTAACGACTCTTGTTACAGTAGTAGGTAACAGTACAAATATTAATGATCACAAGTTGGTTTTCATTGGTCATTAACATACGTTAATTTACAGCCTTAAAACTATCGCAATGCACTTAACAGCAGGTCCTACACTTACTTTACAACTTAAACATTTATACAAACTGTAAAGAAAAACTTACAACGAAGTTACATTACAAGAAAACAATATCTTGTCACATATATTATTTAAATTATTTGTATTCTATTGTGTTTTATGTTAATTTAAAAAAAAAAAAAAAAGTTCCCAGAACTTTATAAGTTCAGTGTGCACATTTTTTGAGGATTCAAAACATAAATATATAATTTAATTTTTTTTCCAAAACTCTATTTGTATATAATATTTCAAAATCTACTTTCCAAATGCGAGGTAATTTTAATAGTTTTTTTTTTAATTTGTAACCTCTCAAAAAATATGCACACTAAATATTTCGTTCCATTATAACGTGTAAAGACCTCCTGTTACATGTATTTCGTTTTAAAAATGCCTTATATTATAAACAAACAATTTGCAAATTTTTTAAATTAAGGCAAACTTTCGCTTAAAATTATTATTAGCAACAGAAACCCAACTTGAATATCTACTTAATATCTTAAGAAGCTAGGACTTACCTATTTTAGGTACGTAAAATTAATAATACGTTTTAATGAACTAAAAATACGTGAACAATATTTACAATTACGACTCAATACAATTAATAAAATCTATACATAATATCGCTTCATGCCTATCTATAAACAGAAACTTGAAAGAACTCTCAGTAGGCCACTAATACAAGACATTTCGACTACTTCATAGTACTATAGCTATCGTGCGACATTCACTAACAACGAATTCAACTCAAGAGTATTCAAATAAATTAATATCTATCTTCTACTTCGCATTGACGAGACTTCGGATTGTACTTATTTACAAAATGCAATTATATTACAAATAATATAAAATGAAACATATAAATGTGCACAATTTTGAGGAATTTAGACCTTATGCTTTATATGTAATAAGAATTCGAGGCTAAATGCCGTAAATATGATTCCACTCCTAAACATAGTCGTAACATTGAAACAGTTTGAAATTTCTGGTTACATAAGTGTATTACAATGCGACTGTTTGCCATTTGTACTAAACAACTATCTTTATAACCTACGAATACCACTCATATCATTGTAAAAGTATCTACGAGACGAATATATCAGTCGAAAATTGTATTTTAACAATTATATTTTATTCAAAAGAAATCATAACTTACTTTATTACCTTGGCTGGAATCGTGTTAGATTCATGTTAAGGCCAAACGTTGATTAAAACGATATATCGGAAGGGAACATCGATTATAGAATATTGCAAAATAAAATGTGTCACGTTGTAAACACCTACGTGCTTTTTGAAGCGAAACTATCGATATATTAAATTGCCCATCACTATTGCCGGATTCATTCTTATAGTCGTGTAACGGAATTAATTTGCTAGATTTTCTTGTACGGTTTAGACTATTCCCTTGGACATCATGCGAACAGTGTTCTTGAGCGCTTGGCGCTTGTTGCAGAACCATATTCTGATGACTTCCCGCTCGTATCCTAACTGATGCGCCAGCCCGGTGATCTCCGTGCCTGGAATAGTACAAAATTATATAAGTTAAAATAAGGCTAGATAAGCATGACATACAGTATGTGCTGTAACGTTGGGAGGTTACGAATTGCGAGTTGGAATGTTGGGACAATGACAGGCAGAAGTAAAAGGAGTGCCTGGGAAATACCTGCAGCTTATTCAGGCCATGTACTGGCGAGCCAGTACATACGTCCGGTCCGCTGCTGGCGATAGTGACAGGTTCGGTGTCTCGGTGGGTTTACACCAGGGGTCGGCTTTAAGCCCGTATCTGTTCCTCCTGGTAATGGATGCTTTGACATTAAACATACAGGAGGAGGCACCCTGGTGTATGCTTTATGCCGATGACATCGTGCTTGTCGGGAAGGATGAATGCGAGGTACAGAGCAGGTTGGAAGAATGGCGGGTTAAATTGGAGGGAGCTGGTCTTAAAATCAGCAGGACCAAAACTGAACATTTGTTTTGCGATTTTGGCGGTCCGACCAGCTTCTCTCCAATCGCCTTAAATGGTGTGCCTCTACCAACCTGCTCCGACTTTAAGTACCTCGGTTCTCTAGTCCAGTCCGACGGTGGCGTTGACCGAGACGTAAAAAGCCGAATAAATGCAGGTTGGATGAAATGGCGACAGGTTACTGGTGTGACTTGTGATCCAAGAATGCCTCTTAGGCTTAAGGGACAGATCTACAAGTCCATCATAAGACCTGTCGTATTGTATGGATCTGAATGCTGGGCCACCAAAGTTGCGGATGAAAGGAGATTGCATGTGGCTGAGATGCGTATGTTAAGATGGATGTGTGGTGTGACAAGATTGGATAAAGTTAAGAATGTGTACATTAGAGGAAGTTTGAAAGTAGCGCCAGTGGTGGAGAAATTGAGAAGCAAAAGGTTAGCGTGGTATGGACATATTATGCGACGAAATGATGGGGACATAAACCAGAAAGTGTTGAGATTGAATGTGGATGGCTACAAAGGAAGAGGAAGACCGAAGAAAGTATGGATGGATTGTGTGAAGGAAGATATGCTTAAGAAAGGAGTGGATTCAGATATGACGGCTGATAGAGATGTATGGAAGAGCAGCACATACTGTGCCGACCCTCCATAAGGGATAAGGGCAAGTGGATGATGATGAAGCATGACTGCATGACGAAGTGTCAAAGATCAATATCTCTTGTTCTCGTGTCTAATTTGGTTTTTATTTGTCATAGAGTAACAAACAAAATATTTTCTTTTATGTCCTCTTTTAAATTAATAAACAGTTAAAAATTATTCGTCTAATTACCTGAAGGATGGGTGTTCCTTTCGAAATGTGCGTTGAGTAGTTCAAGAGCTTGAGGTGTGAAAGATGTTCGTCGTTTGCGTTTTTTACTCGGCTCCATCCCAATGAAGTCCGTCAAATGATTCTGTCCGGAAGCGTACCTGGAAAAAAAAAAAAAACATAAGTACAAATTGAAAATGATAGTACAGTCTTAGACAATAGTTTCCTAAATGTAATGCAAAAAGTTTCGTTGCTATGCATGGAAGATACAAAAAGCACATGCCCGTTTACTAAATCAACGTAGAGTAGACATTTTTGTCGATTCTATTTTATCTAGTTATAAAATATCTAATAAAATGCGATAAAGCGCGAGTTAATCAATTATAAACAATATAATCGATCATCTCAAACTCCATGTTTTAAAATCTTACAAAGCATCACGTAGATGTATGAAGACTAGGGATAAAGTCACAGAAATCGATTACGCTTACACCTTACACATTGAACATTCGGCACCCGCAACCATGCCTAGATTGCCTGTCCATCTTGGGGAAAATCTAGCCACAATGCGCTACTTGCTCCTATCCTAATGTGTATCGATTAGTACTCCCCTGTATAGAAATACAACTCTCTCACGTAAAATCACGGAAATTATAGCCTCCCCTCCTATTGTAACAACTCTAATCTTTTTCATTTAATTATCTTAAAGATCGGATATAAAAAAAACATGTCAAGTTCAAATAAACCATACCATTTACAATACGAACGTCACATGAAAACAATGAACCTCGCTCTGGTTTCATAATACAACATTAATTTGAATACTCTTACATAAATGAATCTTCATTTGATGAAACCATGTTCGGTCTACTGGCGTTTACTTATGCATTGCCTATGTCAGGGATATTGTCCTGAGACGCGGCTGTCAGCCCCCATTATTCGAGTTAAAATTTTGTACGATGACCCAAGTCCTATCCGACCTAAGTGACCGTATATCTTTACTATTCATATTGCAGAGGTTACTTAGGTGCAGTCTGACTGAAGATACGCGATGTAACGTAACATATTACAGTGCGAACATTCACGTCAATCACTACGTTGTTGCGCCTCAAATAGTACGGTAGTATTACGGCATGGATGCTCGAAATGTTACACGTAATGTACGTCAGCACCCTTAGACCTAGCAACAAATCAACGTATAACGTATAACATATAACATAATATTTCATGTTAATTGTCTAATTTTATTTATTATAGTGTTTTGTTTTTTTTGAGAAAAAAGTGGTAGAGTAAATTTAACTCGACTCAAAATTCGGACATCAAGGTACTTCAAGGTAAGCTGATAAATACCCAAATTCAAAACAGGAGGTCCATTAAGTTACGTATTGTCTGTGGAAGCGGCAGTAAAATGCTACTTAACCTGGAAGGTCATTCAAGTTGTAAAACTTGGCGCGACTGTTTAAATGTTAATTGCCTAGCTTAGATATTTAATGAGATGTCTGAATTATTAATATTCTGCCGTTTTAAGTATTAATAAACCAATTAATCTTAAAATTCAATTAAAGTTAATGTAGTAATATTTAATAAAATTTATTTTTATTGATAATATTCTTCATTAGATTTTCTATTTTATAAACTTTGAATATAGTTTTAACAAAATTATTTCTTAAGAAAAAATCTTCAACCATTAATCTTCTGTTCTGTTCTGTTAGTTAAATCTGTATTTGAAATTCGAAAAAAGCATACATTTCAAGAAATATTTACATTAAGAAGACGATTGCCTTTTTTCCATGTAATTCCTTTTTCCTGAACCAATTTTATTCTGAACTTACAAATTTTGTATCGAAATTTTTATTCAGCTTCAAAAGTTATTGAAATAGTCGACAGGCGCTTGAAATTTTTATTAGCATTGCATTATGGGCACAGAATTTACGAAAATTTATCGAAAAAAAAAATGTTGAAGCCGAAAATATAAAAACGTTATCTCGAGGGTTTTTGTCAACTCGACAAATTAAAAACGGTTAAATGGAATTAAAAAAGCTGATTTGCTAGTTATCCCGGTTATAAAGAGAGTAGGCACGAGCTATCGGTATTAATTCAAGGGCTATCGTAACAGAGGTGCTCGTTAAAAATTACCACGGAGGAGGACAGCGCATTGCAAATTCAACGCACCATTTGCAATGTTAAAGTCGTAACGTTGCATCCAGATAATGCATTTTAATGATGCAAAATGTTAAATCGATAGATCATAGCCGCTCCGGTCCGAGCTTCACACAATATTAAGGGGCCGTCAGAGATTTAAGCGACACCTGGCTCATTCCGAATGATGATTTCATGCGATGTAACCTAACGGTACATCGTCTTTGTGCGTTCTATTTTTAGTATTTACTTTAAATAATGTACAAGTTATGCTTTTTGTAACTTCAACATGAAGTTAATTTTAAGTTCAAAATAAGTTGTTTGTATCCTATCTTTTCGCAGCCGAAAATTTGTTCAACTTAATGCTGATATCCCGGTTCAAAAATTCACCTGGTACCATACATAATTACATAGACTTTGTGAATTAAAACAACATATAAACATGTAATATCTTAATATCCTTAACATTAAACTAAACAAACATGCAGTTAATATAGTTACAAGCCATGCTCAAACCGTGAATAATATAAAAATGTGAAAATAAACATTGTTGCAAACGCCGTAGTATACGATAAAGTCAAACGACACAAACAAAAAGAAAAAAAAACACGACAGTATGTTAGTAATGGGGAGAAGCATTGAAGGACGTGGAAAAGAAAACCTAGCCGATAGAAGCTCAGTTAGTCCAGATTTGAGAAATGTTTACATCGTTGCTAAGCATCAAGGGCCAAATGTGTCACGAAACGGTACAGTACCACGCACAAGTTCACTCAAACAATGATAGTTACCTCTCTTCGGCTTCCTTCATCCAACGTTCGAGCACCGGTTTGATTTTCTGCGCACTTTTTGGTGTTATATCCAATTTCTCAAATCTGTATCGAACATAAATTGTATCGTTAGAAGTAAACGTAAAAAGAATTCTCTTCACGAACCGAACGCACGGGAACTAAATAAGCGACCGAAATTTTAGAGGGACGGAACGGACGATCTCTCATCCCTGATACAAATTAACGTAGCCGAAACACAGGACATTGACATGGCGTTAACGATAATAGCGACGGAGAATAAAAAAAAAACAATAGGCAATTTAGGCCGGCGGAGTAATCAGTTTGATTAATACCGAACGCGGTAACAATAAAATGAATTCAATTAGAGGCGAAAGGTAACGTATGCCAATGCCCTGGCTTTAAATTGCGCAAAACGTATAATACTAAATGAAACAAAAAAATAATAAAAAAAGAGTAATGAAATAATACATCATGCCAGATTAGATGGAAAGTTAGAAATGTAGACACAATAACAAATCAGATAAAAGTCTCACGGCGATAATTCATGTGGGTCGTGCGGCGGCGCGTCAATGTAACAAATGTAACCTTTGTCTTAGCATCAAAATGTAACATCGGTACTGATCCAAGACGTTCTTAGTGTAATTACCCGTATGTAAATACCGTATACGTGTGAAAAGCGAAAGAAAGAACTCCAAAAAGATGGTAATTACTCATAATTGTATGCATACATCCCCGCTGTATGATCCAGATAAGATTAATAGCGTTGAAACATTTTGATTTAAAGACAGGCTGCGCCTGCGCACAGTGTGACTTGAAGCGTGTGCTTAATGCAAGTTGCTATCGCGTGTCTTCCAATTTATCAGCACTTTTAGCGTAACTTAGATTACTTATAAAATGTCAATTGGATTATAAAGTTGACTTTAATGATGATAATTTGGTAGACACTGCGTGTTAGGGAGTATAAAAACAAAACACATACATGTTTTGTTGCTGTGACGACAGCTGAGCTGCTAGCATCTGCGAAGCCAGGGCACTGGGGACGGTAACAAATTATATTAGACTCCAATAATCCAGTGAACAGCCGACCCTCCACTTACAGGAAGGTGGTATAGCTATACATTATTTTAAGAGAAAAAGCCGCACACTTCGTCTAATATATTCATATTTCAATAATAAATACTCAACTTAAAACAGAGCAATATTTTGATGAAGAATACTAGAATATTAAATGCCTATCTCACCAAATTGTAAATTGTCTGATAACAATCGAACGTTCCCTTATCTGACGGTGACGTCATTTTCCAGCTATCTGAGCCTCTATCAGCCAGTGGTGGGACACGCCCTAAATTGTTTAGATATTACTGCAATAATCCCTCACCATAGAGTTTTTGGACTTCAATCTGAGTGTAAATCGGTGACTTGTATTGAGTTCAAAGTTTTATATATTCAAAGAATTGATGCAATTATGTGCATTCAGTTAACTGTTAGATTGGACAAGATGTCTCATAAAATTGTAATATCATTGGTCCATGCCTAATTCATCATTTGTCGACGCTCTCGTTAGTGGCAATGACCATGAGTGTATCGATCATATTACGTTTGTAAAAAAACATACTATCTATTTATGATACTAATATATTATTGCTTATACTACGTCAATTAAAATAAGTTAAAAGAATAATATACAATTATAAAACTATAACCTAACTAATTTTACATTTGATTGTAAACCGAGTTTAGTCGGACATGAAAGGGGTAGACCTTGTATAGCTAACGTCGACGAACGAAACAAAATTGGAGGGAATCAAAAGAAAAATTAATGGAAAATGAAATCACGACACGGACAAAGACAGGGGAATTCTACTCTTTTAATTACACGAAAAAAGTAATTAAGGCAAGATAATTAATTAACTGGAACAGAAGTAACGATTAATGATTTTATTAAACGAAAGGAGGTCGGCGGGGTGGGCCGATTGAAATTTCCTTCGACCGGTTCGACCCGCGTACTATTTACAATTTGATGGTGAAAAAAAAGCCGTTCCGAATCATTTTCATTACATTTAATTAAACTCTTTTACGGCCAAATTGTATATTGTCGAGGCTTCAAATCAAAATAAAGTTTTATCGTTGCCATGTTGATTCCCCTCAAATATTTTAATTTTTTTTATATTGCCGAGTTAATTGACTTTTTGTATAATTAAGAAACAAATTTACGACTTTCATTACTTAAACATAAGTAGCCTAATATGTGAGTGACTTTAAATTTTACCCAACAAAAAAACATGTTCGTTATATTGTTAAAGCTTGTAATTATTTGTAAAATTAAAAGAGATGACGCATTATAATTACAATTGATAATAAACTCGTAATAATAGAGTTGATTAATAACCAAATATATGTAAATTTATTCAGCGATAGAAGTGAGTACGATAAATAAAAAATTATACATAATATACGTATATAATAAATAATACCCGAATAAGTACGCACGCGCTCGCCTCTAATAAAAAATGGTTTAAGCCCCGAGACAGCCGACCGAAACGGAAGCCGTCCGAATCGTAATTAATTAAAAGAATTGTAAGCAATGAAAGGAGTCATGCTGTTTTACAAATCACTTCAATTAACGATATTAAAAAGTTGGTGTGATAACTGTTCTTGGCTGCGTGACGACGTTGCTTAATACAGAAAAAAAAGGTTTTCGCCTGCCTCGGGGGACGGGCGCGAATTACTTTGACAGGCGAGCTCTATTTGCCCACGCTTTATTACTATGATGTGTTGATTAAATTGTTAACGTGTTGACATTACAATGTTTGCAGATAATAAAAATACGGATTGTAACTTTTTTTTATCACAGACTAAAGAGGCGGGTATTTTGTTACTCGTTTTAAGCAAAGTGTATACTCGTCTAGACAAGCGTGCGACTTTAACTCTTGTTAACAAATAAGCATAATTTATAACAATATTTTTTGTTCTTGAATATGATATAAAAAATGAAGGTTAATAGTAAATTTCTCACCTGCAAATCGCGCTTTGGCTATACGCTGGTCCTTCGGTAACGGACAGCGCCTGCCCCACTTGCGTCTGCGTCAAGCCCAGTCCGAGTCGACGTAGCTTGAACGCCTTCGCGAACTCCTTGATATCCTCGAGGTTGATGCCGTCGACCACGTTACCAGAAGACTGACTGATGGTGGGTTGGTCTGTCAAAAAGTATGTTAAATTATTCTAAAATTTTATCAGATAATTTTTAGATTAAACGTTATATTGACTGATGACAATAGTCAGAAATATTGAGCCCTAAGGTCGCAGTTAACATCTGCGGGGCAGGATTTTCTCTACATTATATCAACGTAATAACAATAACTTCTTTCCGAAGTAAGTTTAAATTTTATGGTATTACAAAGTGATCTTAATCAAACAAAGTTTACTTAACGAAACGATTAGGCCATCCCATCGTGTTCGTTATAAATCGTAGCAGCGGTGTAATTATAGCCAGGTTTATTAGGCAATTAATGTAATCAGTTGATGGTGGCATTTCCTAATTATGCGGGATGTCATTAGCGTGGAGACGTGCTGCCGCGGCGGCGGTCGGCCCGCGACTGCCCCCACCCCCTGCTTAGCTAACCGATGACAAATTACTTTCGCTACCTACCCGCGCTAGTTTAACCAGTAGTCGGCACCAATTAAGACAAGGTGGGGTTGGTAAATTGGCAATCGTACCCCCATTTACCGGTGTTCCAAACTCAGACGATTGCTAATATCGTTTGTTATGTACCGATGAATTGTTATTGTATTCATTTGTTTCGATCTTCATCTCATTTCTCCAATGACTTTAACAGTTTAGGGTCTCTGATTGGAGTGTAATTCGATTGTCCCACGAGAAACTTTCATTTCCTAATACTGTATTCTCACATATCTCTTCATAACATGTGGGGTTTTGTACTGCTAATTGTTAGTATAACGACTACAGCAAAAGAACAAAATCATATGAATTAGTTGCAAGCAACAAGTTACAATGTTCACGTGTTACTGATTTGAATAACGAAGTATAAATAGCGCGGCCCCATCTCATCCTTCATCGAGATCGTATCAAAGGTGCTCCAGAAAGCAGTCTGAAAAAGTGCACACACCGCTTGTGTTATGGCATTCACATCAAATACGTTGATATGCACAATACTTTGGTTTATTCTTTGAATATTTTATGATTGAATCAAATATATCTTTATTGAGAAAAATTAAGAACAACAATATTTTCGAAATGTTTGCAAAATCAATATATTTTTGTCCTACCCTGCATTCCAAATTTATAACTACATTTAACCCTGAATCAATTATGTGTGTATAATTTTACTATCGAGTAATAACAATTTATTGTCGGACAGATGGTTAAAATTGACATGAAATTTATTAACCCACATGAAAGTATCCTAACAATTACGTATATTAAAAGCGAAAAATGAAAAGTTAGGTAAGAGTTTATCTTGTCCAATTACAGACCATCGCGTGATGACGCGCACCCATTAATTAAATTACGAAGATAAGTCAATTGGTCGAATGTATACGAATTCAACAATAATGCATCGAGATATCGTAGTCTTAATTGTTTAATTCATGTTATAAATTAATTAGACACTTAGAACTTGCGTGCGCGATAGTACTTCGTTTATTGAACGGTGTTACGTGTAAGCGAGCCATTTTAAATATGTAATGCCAATTGAGTATTTTCGGCCATTTCGTCGTTCGATTGTTTTAAAGTGATGTTCTTTTAGCAATTACTAAGTATATTTGTAACATTTTTTTAATTGACCACTTTGTAGTTGGTTTATTTAAAACGTTTGACGAATTCTTGGTAATTCATAAACTTTTTTTAACTACTCTTATTCTTTGGAATCAAGTGAAGCAATAAAATGTGTTTTAAATACTTCAATAGCAGTCTTTAGATTCTTTTTATACATTTATTTAAATTAGATAGATTATTTGTTGGACGTATTACTACATTTTACATTGGTACAAGCATTAAAAAGTATTTAAAAATTTTAAATTCAGAATCTTTATTCTAAATTTACTTGTTAATCAGTCGCCCTCGGGGAAAGCAATTCTTATAAAACGGTATTGCTTACATCAGGAACTTGGAGGTATTTTATTTCATTGTTTATTTCAACGGAAGACATTAGCCGGAGCTCATTAGTAAACCCTTACCCTTATATTACTCTGATAACCTTCGAAATCGCTTCCTCTTCAGAATAGAACCTTGATATTAGATTTACTTATCGACAGAATTGTAATAACACACATCAACTATATATCTACTTTAGTGCTCGAAACCCTAAGTTAGAGGTGAATAGGCCATAGTCAACCACGGTGGTCCACAGTTTAGTGACGTCACACATCTTTGAGATTCTCCGCAGATATGGGGAAGTAGCATAGCAACGGTAAATATTGTCATACGAAAATCGTAAATCCTAAAAAAAAGTACATGGCGGGATTCGAACACTGGACGTACATTACAAGTTAAATTCTTAACCCATAGCCTATCTACATGTCATGAATTATTTGAATTTAAACTAACTAGCTGTTCCCGTGCGATTTCATCAGCATAAAATTATTTTATTGTTTACATGTGCCATATTGTCAATTGCAAATGTCAAAATGACATAACATGACAAAAATTGGCAATCCTGCTTCCTTGATGTTGGCAGCAACTTATGGTCTCTTTCCCACATTAGGGTTTTTATCCAAAATATTTATCCCCTAAGTTTCGTGGCGTGAAAATATATAGACTAAAGCGTGACGTAAGTGTAGGTTTTTTTATTTACAAAAAGGTCATTCAAAAATATGCTGTAATTGCCAACATCTTAGGCAACAAAGAAGTGTGTGTTTACGCTTTATTTTAATAGTATAGATAGTATACACATATAAGTATAGATGAAAAACTGCACAACATATGCTGTCCCTTTTATTTTTCCTCGTGAGACAGAGATAACATTATGTTGTAAAACATGTTTGTCAGTGGTATTTTACGACAAAGTTAACAAAAACAAAATCGGACCGCCATTTGACATTTTACAATCAAAGCTTTAATTACAGTTAATTAAAGTTATCGAAATGATTAGTATGAATAATTTGAAAACATAAAAGTACAGGTCAAGAAACTTAATTTTAATATCGAAAGTTTATGATTTTGTTATTAAGAATAACACCGATTTTGATACAAGCAAATTATAAATTTGTTACATGCGTTGCCCGCTCGTCTCGTTTCACTCGAGTTACGATTACGTAATCGATTCCTATTCGTTTAATAATCGATTGTAATTAACTAGCTAATACCCATTGTAATTGCGTATAAGATTTCATGAAGAATTCAAACGTTAGGTAAAACTTTGGTAAACGTCGAACTCACTGAGTAATTAATAAGCCATTTTGTAGAATATCGATATTACAGACGGAACAAAAAAACCGTAATTTGAGAAATTAAAGGTTCTTTTTTTAATCAATACAGGATATGGTATTTTTATAATATTAATATACATTAAACAAATATTCATATCGACTCATCAATAATCTATCTATATAAACGTAAACACACACTTCTTTGTTGCCTAAGATGTCAGCAATTACAGCATATTTTTGAATAATTATTTTTTTAATAAAACGCCCTACACTTAAGTCACGCTTTAGGCTATATACTTTCACGCCGTTAAACTTAGGGGTTAATATTTTGGATAAAAAACCTAATGTGGGAAAGAGACCATAAGATGTTGCCAACATCAAGGAAACAAAGTTGCCAAGATTTGACATCATGTCGTGTTATTTGACATTTGCAATTGATAATTTGACAAATGTGAACAATAAAATGATTTTTTTTTTATAATTTTATGCGGATGAAGTCGCATGGGAACAGCTGTAATATATATTAAAAAACAAACAGCAAGATGAATCAAGTATGTATGTGTGCGATAAAATGTACTGCGACTTATAGTTTTACTAAAAATAAGTAAAATCCAGTTTTGCACTAGCCTGATTAATGACTCATAAAACAGTTAAGGAAATGCCATTTTTAATCCAAGGTTTTTTGATTATAATATACTTTTATTACGGCTGCCAGGTAGGGTTGTAACGGAACCCCGCTTCCGCATCCGCAAGTGCGGAACTTCCGCAAATAATATTAAAACCGCATCCACTTTCGCTTCCGTTATTTCTTATGCGGAGTTATAACGGAGGTAAATTTACATCTTTATCTGTGAGGCGATTACCTAGGTATCGTGTATGCGGCCCGCGCGGGCGTAATATGCCAACTAACTATAATTGTTATACATTACATTTGCATAATAAACTGTATCTTGTAATTATGTACGAATCTGTACTTTGAATAACGGAGTTTTAGTTTTTATTTCTTTAATAAATCGCAATTGACATTTTATTATTGACCTCTGCTTCCGCTTCTGCAGAGGTGAAGCCCTTCGCCTCCGCATCCGCATCCGCTTCCGTTAAAATAGCCTACCGTATAAGTAAGCACCGCTTATAAAAAAGCGAGAACGACCCATCCCAGCCTTAAATTTGCTAATAACTATAAGATTGTATTTTTGGTCACAACTTCGTGTAGAATTAAAATAAATTCTAGTAGTAAATATTGCTTTCTGATGGGAAAACGATCTATAAAATCGACAAAAAGGGTTCCGGCTATGAAAACACGCTAATGAGTTTTAAATTTAAACATTCACTTGTTTCATTTGGCCACTTTAAAACTCGTTGACCTTGTCAAATCCGAAATTAAAATTGAAAAAGGTAAATTTGTGGACTGTACAGCTCAAATTTAAATGGCAGTTGCGACTAGTCGGCCCAACTCTTTGTTTCTCTTATCGATTGCTCTCAATTTTATCGGCAGCGTTAATTATTTGTAATGGATTTTAATTAGTTAATTAATTGATTTAGTTCGACGGCCGCTGCCTACGCCCCTTGGTCGGTGTCTTTGATACCGAAGCGATCGATTTCTACGTTTTTATGATTCGTGAAATTTGTTAATACTGTAATTAGGTCTTGTTTTTGGGTTATCGAATGATTAGATATCGATTATTACCGATGAATATTTTCTTTATTTCTTTTAAACGATTCTTAAGTTAAATCCTTTATGATATAAAATACAAGTAACTTCTCGTATTTATAATTCGAATACTCGCAAATGTATCGATTAGTTCACGCTGACGAAATCAAATGCAGTAAAAATGTTAAGCACCCTGTGGATAATATTCGAAATAGTTATTATAATCGCAATAAATAAGCATATTAACATACTAACATATTAAGTTACCTAACGTTATAAGTGAACCAATCTCACTAAAATTATTAATGCGAAAGCTTAGATGGATGTATGTTATTGTTTGTAGCGTAAACTGCTGAACGAATTTCCCTGAAATTTGGCATTAATGTAGAGGATAATATGAAAGAAGACATAGGCTTTTTTAATTCTCCGCATACGAAGTCGCGGGCGATAGCTAGTTATTCGCCATTTGATTGGAATAGATGAAACGAAATATTTCCCAAGTTCGGCATCTATCTAAATGTATCGTATCGATTTAATTCGGACGAATTATCGCAGACAATAAAGAGAGGAACTGAGTAATTTAGTAATTGTATCCACTAACAACGAATTAAATAGTAACCAATGGAACCGGGCCCCGGGCGCGGACAGACCTTTACACGCAACGATACGGGTACGACACGATTGATTGTTAATAAATAAATTACGAAGGGTTAGAAAACTGTCCTAATATACTACGTTCATGAGAATCTTGACTTAAAATGTATAATGTTTTATGAGGAGTAGATTTTCAAAATGGAATCTTATATCAAATACAGTAAAAAATGATATCTGTACTGACTACTCAATAACTTATTTCTCCGTATCTTTTTACAGTTATTATGTTATGAACTCTAAATTACATTAATAAATCAATTATTGTAACTACATCGAAATTAAATGTAATCTCGTAAAGTATAAAAGGAATGTAACGGATTCCAGATGCTATTGTTTTAAATGGTACAGTCAGCTGCGAAATTAGATGAACGAGGACGATATTTAAAAGCAGTAACAGAATAAACCACCTTCACTATGTCTATAAATTACAAAACCAGTATTTCCTTTATAGTTTTAAGTGTTAAATTAGATACTGTTAAACGCGTGTTTTGCAATCAGTACTAATATAAATAAAACATTTTAGATTTATTTTTAGATAGTAGTTTCGAGTCGAGTATTTTACAAAACCTTTTTTTATACCTATTCATGGATTAATGATGGATCCATGGCGTAAAATATTCATAAGATAAAAACGTTAATACTCTATAACATTTTGTGAAAAAATTATCTCAACTATGTTATAATTTTAGCGACATTAAAAACTGATTAACAAATATGATAATTTTGAGTAATGTAAAGGCTAATCTATTGAATTTGACAGTCATTTACAAGATGTAAGAGTTCATTTAGAAAGGAAGGGCTTTCAGTGTTTTGACAACCCTATTACAATTTTTAACCATCTATTAAATTGTTAATTTACAATTACAACAAAAAAAAACAACGCAAGAAACTAGCAACTTAGTATTAAGCTTGCCTGGTGAAGGCCGGAAATAGTACGGAATCGATGTGCTCATTAACAGACAATTAGTTGAGCAGGTCGCGTTTGCCTCCATAAACAAATGCCAGTAAATGCAACTTGATGATATAATCAATGCCATCTAGTGTTAAAAAAACAAAACGTCTTTTTATTTTTTACATTACAATTGATTAATATGACCAATAATAACAGTGCCATCTATTGTAAAAAAAAAAACGTCTTTTCATATTTTTACATTTCAATAGATTAAAATCATAGACGATAGGCTCATACATTTTGTACATTAAGAAGTAAATAATTAAATTAACAGTGGTAGTGCCCGCTTTAACATCTTAGCACGAATTTGCCGGCACGCCCGGTGTAATACCACGTCCATACAGAAGACAGGCGTGAAATGGAACCAATGCCGTGTTTCGTCTGATGAGTGTGGTGCCGGAGGCCTAATTTAAGTCTTTCTCTTTACCACCCTTTTCTTATAAGGGGAGGTTGGGAAGAGGAAGTGGATTTGACGGTAGAGGAGATGCATAGGAAGGGGAAATATCCTCTTTCTGTGCGTCTCCTCTTCCGTGGTATAAGGGTAGGCAACGCATCTGCAATTGCGGATGTCTATAGGAAGCGGTCGCTTCGCCATTTTGGCGATTTCAGGGGGCCGCTTGCTCGTTTGCCACCTTATGTTATATATAAAAAAAAAATAATTAAATTACTGACTAGCTTGTAGTTTTATATCTTGTAAATATTAAAATGTAGTCACTATAATACGGTAGTACCTCGATAACTTAAAAACCTCTATAACTTCAAAAAATAATATGTTACCTTCCCCTTCAGAGCCCAAAACCTCTGCAACATACAACATACAATATACCCTTGATAAATTAAAGTCTCTATAACTAACTTAAAATATTTTGTTTCTCTTGGACTTTAACATATCGAGGTTCTACTGTATTTTTAATTAAGTAACTAGAACTAATAAGTTGCAATTAATGTTCATAGAATAACTTTATTTCTAAGATACTGGTTAACACAATCTAATTATCAATGACATAATAAGTTTCCGGTAATTTTCCATCCTCTATTTTATATATAAATTATATAAATAACTAGGAAAACCAATTTCTCAAATAATCTGACTTTAAAAGTGCCCTTTTTCTTAAATTAACTGAAAGTTTTAAAATAGTCAAATTGTCTGATCGTGTTTCCAAATTTGTTAGCCTAATGTCGCCTTGGAGTTAGTTAATATTTAATTCAGATGTATTTATATTGGTTCGGTCGCAGGCAAGGATAGACTAATACGATTAGTGTCAGTTCATTCCGTGTATTTACGTTAATTAAGAAGGAAAGGATAAATTAGTTTTTTACATTTAGTTGAATTTAGACAAAATACTCTAGACTATAATCATCCCTTACAAAAACATTTAAAAAACAGGTGTCCTGTGTTAGCAACAAATTTACATCAAGATAATAAAGCTTATAATAAATAGGCCAAAGAATAAAAAACCAACTTGAAGTTGTTTCCTGCCGTTTCGCGCAAATAATTCAAAATATTACCACAACTGATTCGTCACAATGGTATAAAAAACTTGTTTTGTAATTAAAAGCAAAAGTATCTAAAGTTTCATTGAAATAAATGCAGCAGTTAAAGGCAGACAGGCGAGCTTATTCTGGTCGCGAATTAAACAAAGTTCGCAATTAAGTTTGAAAAGATCAGCGCAGGCCCCGCTCACCTACGTCGAATGCGAGCCTACTTTGCGCTAATCAACTTTGCGGACAGTTACCGAACGCACTCGCAACTTTAGAACACCGGTCGAGTCTCCAGCTCTTTATAGTATTACGCTAAATAACTACGACATTGTTGGACTTCGCAAGAGCTAATGGATCGCCCCTGTGCTTAGAGTTTAAAACTTTTATAGATAAGTACAATTGTGTTAAGAGTTAGAAATAGCATTGCAAGGCTCTCTACTATGGCTTTTAATGTTCTAATGTTATTTTAGAAATCAAATTGGATAGTAGAATGTATTAAGTAATGTGCTTCTAGTAAACATTTTATGCAAATGATGTTGCTATATTGGTGTTTTGCTAGAGTTTAAAATGTAACAAAAACAACAATTGAAGATCCGTTGCCTGTTTTTCTTGTAAGACAGAGGAGAAAAAGGAGTTTTTAAGGACACCGTGAAACCTTTAGGGGCTTAAAATTCAACAAGCTACTTACTTGGTGAATCTGCTAGTAAATCGGCATCTTCCTGGGGCGGCGACTTGATGGATCCCGGAGACAGTTTGACGGGCGCGTGCGGCGACGAGTTCGAGCAGCTCGTCGAACTGCATGGCGCTCCGCTCGCGTGCGACGTCGTGATCGTGATCTCCCCATTCGACGCAGCAAGCCTGCACCGTAACATCGATAAAAATTACATTTGCGCATGTGTGGGTGCGTATGTCTGCGAATTATTTTGAAAAGTAGTTGGTATTGGCTTTTATTACGAGAGAAAGTACTTTTGAAAAACGTGTACCTTACAATAAAATAAGTTGACTGTATTTATTACATTTTTATCAGCTGACTTGCCTTTTAAGGTGTTCTCAAAATTTTATCTTAGTATTGTTAATGTTTTAATATCCTTGCTGCGGGAATGGCCTCTAAAGATAAACCGGATTGGTATCCCGTTCCAGTGAACGCAATTGAAAACCATTTATAATTCTAGGAATATGTGTTGGCCAAATTTAGTTAAAGCCCATTGATGATAGAAGCTGTGATGAAATAAAACAATTTCACATCTCTGATCACTTTACAATTATGTACACACCTGTACTTTCAGGTAAAACTAAATGTACATTCACCAACAAAAATAGCTAAAACATTACTCGCTTATTACCTCGTGGTTGTGCAAACGCGTAAAACAATTCTATCTCATGAAAATAATATGAAAATGCGTACCAACTAGGATAATTGTAACCTAATTAAGCAGTGTCGCATTTAGCACGAGTGAGGCTCTTGTGTCACAAGTTGACAACATAGATGGGTCGCGTTGTCACGGGAACTCGGGAACCTCGGGGGAACTCAGGGAGAGCGGAACTCGGATCTGGGCAACAATGGTACAGTCGCGTCGGCGAGTGCGCGTCGTACAAATGAGGTGCATCATTAAGTGCGCGTTGCATTAGAGGTAATTGCGGGCTAATTAGGGCCTCATCCGTTGCATACTCACACAACAGTTCCTTAAATTCACACGCTAATAAATGTTGCGAATGTTTTTTCTAGCGATAAAATGAAAAAAGTGAATTTACTCGGCCGTGATGTTTGTAGTAAACAACTTTCGGAAGTGAGTGTAAGTTTTTGTTTATTTAAACTATGACTTAAAAAACAATTTTTGTTTCAAGTACACTTTTCTTCGCATCGTAATTTTATTTCATATTTGATATTTCAAATGTCTATGTTGCATTACTTAAATTCTATTATGTTTTTACGGACGACGCTGGGATGGTGTTTAAGTTGGCCGACATCTGTTTAAGAAATCAGTTGGATAACTGAGTTTTGTAAGTTTTAGACTTATAGGGCGTTATCGTCGCTTCGCGACAGAGCCCCCTGTAAAAACGTATGTTTTGACTAATAACAAAATTATAATTTTAAATGTTACAATTGCTGATTGTTTGCATTACATTTTAAAATGTCACATAAAATACTTTAGTTATCTGACCTTTCGTGATACAGATTTTAACTTATTTAGTCTTAAATTATTTCGCATTGTCTAATTCAATTAAACATAAAACGCGTTGCAGGCTTGTTTAGCGAACGCAACATCTCACACACTACTATAGAATAAAAACGCACACACGGCTCGTACGTATAAGCGAATGCACGCACACAGGTGCACGAAACATTAATTGTTCCTTCAATTTATCAACACGTAGGGTACTCGACGTCGGAACTACGCCTTTTCGAGATAATTATTTTGAAAATAATAACGGTTCGGTGGCGAATTTAATTACAAACTTATTTTCTTGTCATACGCCGTATGACCTTTGTATGTAAGCTACGAAATGTACATAAAACATGTTTTCGTAATTTTTTTATCAATAACTTTCGTCAAGAATCGAATGTTAATTTGTACTGTAAAGTAAGGTTTACTACTATATCTCAATCTATATTTATATTATCTAATATATTTTCACGCCATTAAACTTAGGGGGTAAATGTTTGGATAAAAACCCTAATGTGGGAAAGAGACCATAAGTTGCTGACAACATTAAGGAAGCAAGGTTGCTAGGTTTGTCATCGTCATGTCATTTTGACATTTGCAATTGATAATTTGACACATGTAAACAGTAACATAAAATTTCATAATTTTATGCGGATGAAGTCGCCCGGGAACAGCTAGTTATAAATATAAAGAGGAAAGATTTGTATTTTTGGGTGTTGAATTAACTCAAAAACTACTGGGCCGATTTTAAAAATTCTTTCACCGTTAGAAAGGTAATTTATCTGTGAGTAACATAGGCTATATTTTTTTAATTTCACGAGGGCGATTTCGCGAGCAACAGCTAAAAGTAGATTGCATTATAAGATTTATATTTTTTTATGTATTATTGGTAATAACTATTTGAAAAAAATCTTGCACCATTAAAAAGCTACTTTACTACTGTATGGCTATATTTTTACTTACACGCAGACTAACTAGCATTAGATTTATGTATTCACAGCCAAGTAAATCAAATTTTTCTTTTGTTTTGACTGTTGATATAATTGTATCGATTTAAACGACAAGCATGTTTCTTCACAAATACTTGTGCGAACTTACTGTTTGTATAACTTTGGGAACGATTAAAATTTTGATTAATCTCAATTATCTTTTAAAAAACTTAAAGCAAACTCATAAAAGAACTCGCAGAAATCATCTTGTCATTATTTCGAGAAAGTTCAATTTATTGCATATAATTATCGGTTTTGATAAATGTTCCGTTTTATCTATAGCATTCCATACTGATTCGTGTAACGTTGTTAAAAATATAGTATTAAGAATAATTTTATTTTTTTAATGTTGCCTGCATCTTTTTACATTTATATAAAATCTAAATTTCGTCACCTACTTAATAAAAATAATTTTATTGTGAGCAAATCCGTTCTACTTCTATACCTCTATATCTATACTAGTATTACAAAGAAGGAAGATACTATTGTATTTTTGTATGTATTTAAATAATTAAAAAACTACTGGGCCGATTTTAAAAATTCTTTCACCATTAGAAACATAATTTATATGTGAGTAACATAGGATATTTATATTATTTAATTTCACGCGACGAAGCCACGAGCAACAGCTAGACGTAAAAACAAAGAAAAGTACTTAGAAGTTTAAAAATATATAAAAGTATAGATGAAGTATGTTTAGGTAATTCCGTTAATAATTTCCGTCTATAACATTATAGATATCGAATGAGGTTAAATATGGAAAACAAAATTACGTTCCTAATAAAATTAAAAATGAACTGCGAAAGGTTAAAAAATATGCGTGAATTGAAATACGAAGTTTGATTTTTTTAAATGGGGTAATAAATAACGAAAGCCTCAATATTAATTTCATTAGGAAGCGTGGAATGTTCCAGTTTAAAAAATGTAACTTCGTAAAAAAAAATTGTATACAGCCAATCGTATAAAACTAGACTAAATAATAAACTTTATGGTTTTTATTTTACGATATTTCATATTTAAAATGAATTTAAAACATTTGTTAGTCTTATTATTAACTTCTATTTAAAGAACAAAATCTGAGGGCCTATTGGGAATATTCGTGAGAATGTTTACGTTATTTATGTAACGACATTGACAAAATTTGAATTATATTTATACAGTATCCCAATCAGGTGTAGAGTACATCAAAAATCTCATACAAAATCGTATGGAATATGTTCTCTCAACTATCACGGAAATTTTCTCAATTGACCCTCTGGTATCAAAAGGATAATTTTCACAAATCAAAAAACATGTTTTTCGGTTGTAATAAATTCACAGTAACTTGATTTGTAATTTCTTTATATGAAAAACTTGTTAAACAATGTGTAAAGTCAGCTGCAAATATATGCACACATTAACAAAGCGTCAAAAACTTCTTGCCTTCAGTTTTTATAATACGTATGCCCATATCTATGTTATTCTTCAGACTATTAATGTTTTAACAAACGCGTATACATCGAAAATAATAGTATATAATACTAGCTTTCGCTCGCGACTCCGTCCGCGAGGTATTAAAAAAAAAACCAAAACCAAGTAACCTATGTGTTCTTCCAGGCTATTCTCTACATGTCTGCCAAATTTCATTGAGATCCGTTCAGCAGTTTAGGCTACAAACTCTAACAAACATCCATCCATCCATCTAAACTTTCGCATTTATAACATTACTAGCTTTCGCTCGCGACTCCGTCCGCGTGGTACTAAAAAAAACAAAACCAAGTAGCCTATGTGTTCTTCCAGACTATTCTCTACATGTTCAGCAGTGTAGGCTACAAACTCTAACAAACATCCATCCATCCATCTAAACTTTCGCATTTATAATACTAGTATGATTTTTTATGTATTATAAACGTATAAATATTTATGCATCTGACTGTACCACGATGCACGTAATTAACTGATTACAGTAAGTTTCAACGAGTCTAATTAGCAACAATGAGTTTGCGAGGGAAGTGTAATTGTGCGTAATTAGGGAATAATAGGACGCGACGTCATTAGTATTAGCTTAGAAGATACTTCAACTTCTGCGCCCTTAAACTACTTCTAGAACCTTCAGTGTGGTGAAGGGTTTACAGTCAAGGACGTTTATTTCCTACCCATGTAAGTAGGTCGAAAATTTGTCACAACATACCAGTAAATAAATGCTAAATCATTCAAGTATGGTATTGGTATAGCTTTTGACAGTTGCTGTTCGATATTCGATCCTAATGGGAAGACATTTAAATTCTTTAACTGTACACTTTCAAGCGATGGTAGTAAACTGTACGCATACGGTATCACTGAGAATGGTTGTATGTAAAACTGAACTGTGTAATTAATTATATAGTGTTTGCTTTATGAATGGATTATTATTATTATTATTATAAAATTTGTAAAAGCGCCATCTATCCAATTTGTCCAAGATTAGATAGCACTTCTGTTGTATAAACATCAGCATTTTAGCATAAACTCTTTTTTGTCTTATTGAATTATCAGTTACAAAAAAATCAGAAACATTAATTAAGTTTTTCTTATAATAAAAATCTAATAACTTGTAAATAAAGATAAAAAAAACGTTAAAACATGTGTTTCAATGAAATGTCATGTATGTCTTGCATACAATGAAGTCAAAAAGCGGTTCTCGTTTTTGCTAGCGTACGTTTCACAATGATTTTAACATTTTAAT